AAAAAAAAAAAAATTTTATTAAGAGGGCAGATGTCACATTGTGCTCTTACCACAATAAAGTTTTTTGAGAAATTCAGCTAACTTTTGCAAGGAATAGCCTACCACCTGGCAGTGCTGTGCTTTTACCATTTTATAAACATTTTACAAGCCAGTTGCTTTCTCTAAATATGCTTTCAGGCACTAGCTGGACAAATGCCTTGCCATGTTGCACCCTCTTCCTATGCTTGTTTATTTTCACTTTTCTGCTTAAGTATCTCCCTAGAAAGGCCTACTCTGAAGTCTCTATGTAAAAGTTCACCTTCAGAGCACCCAAATGGTATCTTTCTCAGAACTTACAAAACATGGCAATTACTGCTTAGTTAACTAATATATTGTCCCTCTCTCTTCCATGCTAGATAAAGGAATAGGCCTTTGAGTCTGGGTCCAGATATTCTCCCATTTTAGTGAAGTATCTGAACTGCTTTGTTTTACACACCAAAATTACAAAAAAAGAACAAAAATTTTTAGCCTTATTGGCCAGGAGTATTGGAAGCCTTAGCTCTCCATTCCCGTAACTTGGTAAGGAACCACTTTTTTTTTGCTAATATTCCATCAATAGGCCTCAACACAAAGATTGACCATAAAAGAAGAAAAAAGTGAAGTGGATATATAGAGGTGGTCACCAGGCTGAGGTATTAAAAGGATTGTAGAGATGACACACATAGAAAAATGCAGGGTGGGGAAAGTATTGTAAGATAGAGTGTCGTAAGGCCCAGAGGAAAGCCTATAGTAAGAATCTGAGTCAGGAGACCATTTGGTAAAGCCTGATGTGTAGGCTTAACTGGAACAGTTTGTTCATTCCTCTGTTAGCATAGCAATCCCCATCAGATGGAAGGCCCTACAGTATATACTCATCAGCTATTAATAACAGGACTCAGAGACCGTATAGAAAGTAAATTACTTGGTAATTGTATTTTTCTTTTACTTTAAACAAAAGCTTATAAACATCTTTTTTTTATAAATTAGCATGATAATCATGAAACAACAGAACCTGCTTCTCAGTATTTGAAATATTTCATGTTAATATATCAACCTGCCATTTAAAAAGGCAATTTCATCAGCATTCAATCAGTGATGAAGTTCATGAAAGTGTTAAAAAACCTCTGGAGTCCAGCAAAGTCAATTATAACTAGCAAATGCAGTAAATATCAAGCTATGCTGTAAATACTTTCACAATCATTGTTTAGGATAGAAATACTTCTCATGATTTTTTCCACAAAACATTTAAAACCTCATGCATTCCCTAAGTACACACTAAGTAGTGAGGTACACATAACGTAGAAGTATAACTGCAGAAAATTGCTCTAGGAATCAAGTTGTATTATGGATAGTCTTCACATTGACTACTCAGGTTAAAGGCACAGAGACGTTACTATGATTAACATATTTTTTAGGTTATGTATTAAGCTAATACTAAAATACACTTGTCATCCCCAAATAAATACCAGCTGACTTGGAAAATGGTAGTTATAAAAGAAACTCAACCAGAAAGGGAGAATTTAGTTATGAAGATGCACTTGACTTTTTTTAGGGAATTAACAGCAGCATGAAGGCTGATCTAAAATTTTGCAGAAGAGAATGCACAGCCCAACCATAATTTATATATCACTATTTTGTGCCTTAACAGAAAGAATCCTATATCGTAATGTTTTATGAAAAATGTGGCTAATTAGGAACCACCTTCTTACCAATGTTAATGTCAACAATTTTCACATGTAATTATTATTTTAATATAACTGCTCTTTCAGTAGTTGTATTGCTTCTCTGGCTTTAGAGTTTAATAGTTTCCATTCTTAATGCTTAATACATGTCAGGTTCTATGTAAAGTATGTTGTCAACAAGATTTTGGAAGGTAGATCTTACTACTCCTGCTTTTCTAAAGTAAATGAAGCTCTAAGAGGTGAAATGCCATATTCAATACTAAGAAATGGAGCCAAAATTCACATTCAGGTTTGACTGCCTGAGACCATACCACAATACTATTCTGTCTCATAGCTTGGCTTACATAAACATTATTATGTACTTATTAAAAATGGAATGATATACGGCTTAACTCCAATAGAATGCAGTGCCACAAATTAGTAATAAAATTATCAACACAAGAAAATGCTGCTTCTGACATTTATTTTTGAAAATTAGCCAAACATCTCAACCCTCCAGTAAAGTAAAGCATTTGTAAACTAGCTGTAATCATTTGTTTTCGTATGAACGTAACGAAAGTGTATTTTGTGAGCTGCAACCGGGTAGCTCGGAACACAGCCTCTAGAGCTGAGGCTTCAATTCTGATTCCACCACCGACTTGGGAGACTTTGGACACATTCCTTCACTTCTCCTTGGTTTCTGTGTAGAATGGGATTCATTTGTAGTAACTGTAGTGATGCACTTATGAACACCAAATGAGTTTCATACATGTAAAATATTCACGACACATAAGCACTCAAAAAAATGCTGACTCATACTGCTGAATCCAAAAGCTTATTTATCCTTTTCGTTAATAAGGGTCTTAAAACGCATTTTCGATTTAGGTTGGGTTTATACAGCTGCAACCTAAGAAGCATCTGTATTTTTAAGAACTGGGCACAACAGAATAGCATCTTCCCAGTATAACAGTGAGATCACACTCACAGAGGACACATTTCATCAAGAACTGCTTCACACGCCCAGACAACATCTCATTTTAAACCCCTGCGGCAAGACAAATCAAGTACAAAAACACACTCTCCCTGTTTTCTTCAGCACTGAGATCACCGGTTCCTTCCATTCCACACCGCGGCTCCCTCGGCTCGGAGCCACAGGGAACTATGAAAACCGGCCCGCGGGACCTAAGCGTTCCCAGAACCAGAGGAACGACAGTTGCGTCAAAGCAGAAGGACCTCTTTTACAACATCAGCAGTGGTACAGTCGGTGCAGAGATTTCCTAGCAGAAAGAGAGAAGGACAGCAGACATCCCCACTGAGGACCGACGTTCCAAACCTTTCAAGGCCTTTTTTCGCGCGCCGACACAACCGGAAGTGACGCGTTCAGCCAGCGCGCGGGGCCACCCGCGGGACACACGAACGGGAGGGGCAACGTGCGGGGAGCTGGGGGCGGGGCGCGGCCGCAGCTCCGTTTCCGGTGGCTCGTAGCTCTCGCTCACTCCAGCTGCAGCCACTCTCGCCCGTGGCTGCTTCCTCCATCCTGGTATTTTTTGGAGCCTCCATCCTGGTTCTTCCAAAGTGCCCGGACCCAAAACAGGAAGTAAGTGCGATGGAACCTTCAGGTCCCAACCGCCGCCAGGGCCGCTCCGCCCAGTGGAGCCTGTCCGGCCCCTTTTCTGCCCGCTAGCTCCCGCCGGCTGGCGCAGGCTGCCGGCGCCCTGGCACCGCGGGCGGGGTCGGAGCCTGGCCTTCCTGACGTTGCAGCTGCCGTCCCCGCACGTTCCGGCCAGTGCCTCCCTCTCAGGGCCGGACGGCGCCCGTGGCTCAGGCTGCAGAGTAGGGAAGCGAGCGGCCGCAGAGGCACAGCAGCAATCCGACGGGGGCGGAAAATGGCGGCGGCTTCGGAGGAGCTAAATGGCGCCGGGACCCCTGGGGGGGTGGGGTGGGCCGGGAGGTTGGGTAGAGAACTGGGCCACAGGGAGTGGGGACAGTAAGGAAGCCCTATTTGCTTTCTCGTGGTGTTCCTTTTTTAATTTTTATTTTTATTACGTTTTTCGGTTTTGTTGTGTGGTGCAGCGTAGGAGAGGTAGGCTTGGGTGGGGTTGAGAGAGTGGGGGCGGGTCTCGACCCAACTTCCCCCGCTTTGCTTTTTTGTTGTTCTTTTACCTTGTTTGCGCTTTAGATTCTTCTGTAATTTTGCGGGGATTCAGCTTTGCTCGGCGATTCACGGCCCAGGCAGAGAGAATCGGGATAGCTGGCCGAACCACCTCTGTCAGTCTGAGTCTCTTTAAAGAAGGGATGTGGGCTGGGGCGAGGGGACAGAGTCCTGGTGGAGCGCGGAAAATGCGTCTCTAAAGAGTAATTGGCTTATTGTGCCGATATCCCAGAAAGTTCTTAAAATTGTTAAATCCACTTTGTCCTCTAAAATGGACTTCGCTTTGAGAATTTCTCAGGGAGGTACGTAAAGTGTTTTACCACAATCTCCAGAGTAGATTTGAGAGAAGAAGTGGCCAAGTGCCTTTCTGTGCAGTTGAATGATAGAGCATATGCTTTTATATAAAAATATTCGGCGTAGATAAGAAAAAAGATAATCGTGTACAGTATGAGTCAGGACTCCTCCCTTTCTCATTGAATTTGCGTAGTAGCTTTTTTCGCAACGATTCATTTTTGTGTACCTCTTTTTAATGTATATAGATTTGATTTTTGTTTGTGTGCCTCCTTTCTGACAGGCGAGGCTACTTGTTGGGTCGTCCTACAAAATACATATTTTGTAGAATTATTTAATATTACATGTCTTGAGCTTAAAGTTGTGCCATTTGGAATATTTTAAAACCATTTGTAGCTTTTAAGCTCCAGTCCAAATACGAAAATATTCCTCCCCTATGTTGAAAGTTTTACAAAATCCGTTTTTCTTTTTCAGTTAAGGGTTTTCTTTTTTTGTTGTTGCTTTTTTGTTTGTTTTACAGGCTGTCTTACTGGTATTTCTTAAGGGTGTTCATATTTTATCATTAATTCAAATTTTTTAAGGCTGGTTTTAAATTTGTATTTCAAGTAACTTTCTGAGGATTATTGTATTTTAACAAATTAGATAATTTACTATCACTTTTTACATTTAAAGAATGACGATACAACAAAATCTTTTTGCTCTTATGTTGTAGTGGAGACAAGATTTCATGTATTTGGTTAGGATTTACAAATCTTGTCAGGATTTAGAGAAAAAAGGTTAAAACTATATTTCTTAACATACGAAAGTTGTCTTGCTGAGAGAATCCAATTTGGTGTGGGAATAGCTTTTTTCTTCCGTACACAAAGCACAAAAGCCAGCCTCATTCTGCCTGGAAAAAACCATTATGTTATAGGTGTGAAAAATATATTTCATGATTTGTGGTGATTTTTGTCTCATTTTAACTCCCAATACTAGGTGCTTCTGTATGCCACCAAACAAGCTAATTTTTTTTCTTGCTATTTTAGTTGATAGGCTCACCCCAAATATGCTTTTTGGGACTGATTTAGCACCCGCATATTCTGCGTGAATCTCTTTATTGATTGCAGTTGAGCTAATGGTGGAGCCAAAATGCTATTGCCCTGTCTTCATCAACATTTAATCAGTAAGTACTGGGCATTGCATCTTTCTTAGAACTTTAAGTTCATACTTTGCAGTTATATATGAATACATTATATAAACATTTTTCTCTGAGTGTTCATCAGGTGTTTGAAGTATTTTGAGGGGAAGAAATCAAAGTTCGGGGGTATGACTTGAGCTTTGAAAACAGAGCATGGCTGGGAAATGTTTACTAGTAGAGAATCATATCAAAAGTAGGTAGCTGTCCTGTAGTCCTTTTTTTAAAGATCTCTTTTCTCAGTGCTTTAGTTATCTCATTACACCCACGGGGTGCTTTATCAAAGTTCGGGGGTATGACTTGAGCTTTGAAAACAGAGCATGGCTGGGAAATGTTTACTAGTAGAGAATCATATCAAAAGTAGGTAGCTGTCCTATAGTCCTTTTTTTAAAGATCTCTTTTCTCAGTGCTTTAGTTATCTCATTACACCCAAGGGGTGCTTTAAAGGGGAGAGAGAGTGTATATATTTTATAAGGTTAGTTTGATGTCACTACTTAGTATTTAAATAACAACAAAAAGCTTCTCTTCACCTCTGCAAAAAAATTTTACCTATTAGTCTCATTTATCTCTTCAACATCTACAGACCCTAATTTTTATTAATGGTGTAATAAACTTACATGCCCTGAAAATAACATCTTGTTATTTTAAACAGTTGCTTTTGCCATGCTTCATTAAGTGCATTGGCTTAAATTAACACTTGTGAGGATAAATGAGCTAATGTGAACAAGTGTTCCCTAAGGATTTACTGCCTGGCACATAGATGTTAAAATATTGAGGGAGCTTAGAAGTGTATTGTCGTCTTGCGTCACTTGTATTAACACACATATCTGTCTGTTACAAAGACATCAAAAGTTTAGTAAGGAACAAGGTTTAGGAAGGGTTCATTCTGCTTTTTTTATGTCATTTGTAAAGACAGCATATTTAACACCGAGGTGTTACTATGCCTTTCCAAAATGGAGTTTCCATTTTCATAGTCCATTGTATTCTCACTACCATCATATATTTCCTATCTGAAAGGATTTCCCAAGAATTGATATACTTTTAAGTCCTTTGCGGTTTCAGCTCCAAAAGATTTCTATACCTCTAAATGATACAAGATGATCCAAGAAAGTTGTATACTAAGTGATTTTTATTAAAATAATTGCCAAGTGTTAAGGATAAAATACAGATAAATACATTACCAAATGTATGTGACATTTATTTGCTTTCATGTCATTTCTCCCTTTATTTTGATGATGCTTTCATTTTGTGAAGAAAATTTCTGTAATAGAAATCACAAACAGATTTTGTGTTTGCTTTGATTCTATAAAGGTAAGTTTAAAGGAGGAACCTGTTTATCACATTTCCTCCTCTCCGCCAAGTTCGTAGAAAGATCGTCCATTCCATGACTGAATACTAGAAATAAGTTGTCAGGAAAAAGCACACTGGAGAGCTCATTATGAACAGTTTAATTTTCTATCATCCCATATATTTAAATGTCATTTTTAATGTCATTAAATGTACACTGTTAGGTCATTCTTCCAGTCACCAGTGGTCAAAGCTAATTCATTCACTTCCCATCAGGTGTTATGCTGATTAGGTTTATTTTACTGCCTGTGTGTATTTTAGTATCTAATGAGGAAATCTGCTTTAAAATTTTTTTTTTTTTTTTTGAGACGGAGTTTCGCTCTTGTTACCCAGGCTGGAGTGCAATGGCGCGATCTCGGCTCACCGCAACCTCCGTCTCCTGGGTTCAGGCAATTCTCCTGCCTCAGCCTCCTGAGTAGCTGGGATTACAGGCACGCACCACCATGCCCAGCTAATGTTTTGTATTTTTAGTAGAGATGGGGTTTCACCATGTTGACCAGGATGGTCTCGATCTCTTGACCTTGTGATCCACCCGCCTCGGCCTCCCGAAGTGCTGGGATTACAGGCTTGAGCCACCGCGCCCGGCTGCTTTAAAATTTTTTTAAAAAAATTAATTTCACTGTAAATCATAGGTGTCTGATAATACTGTGTAAGCTTCTGATGGTACCTTGTATGAAAGTACTCAGTTTTGAATGGATGAAATCTTTAAAGTGTAGCCAATAACACATTATTAGCTCTTAAACCATACATAGGGTGAAAGATAATATTGTTGCTTTTTTAATAAGCAATACAATTTTATTGTCGAACCAGATATGAAATGCTGCACCTTAAAATGATCCATGCTATCAAGTAATTCTCCTTGTTCAAGTAATAATGACATTGCTTTCAATAGTAATTGAAATCAACATTTTAAGCATTAAAAACTTGCTAGAATAGATTCCACTAACAGCTCTATTGACATTTTTATGATATATAGTCATATTTTACTATCTTAAAACCAAGCCATAGTAAACATTAATTAGGTACCTTAATTGAATATGCCTTACGTTCAGTTATGGCTCTGCTTCTCAGACTTTTCCATAAAGTACATAGAGGAAGAAATCCCAAGGGGTTTGGCACTATAGTACAAAACAATCTTCCTCAAGTGTGTAGTGTTCCCATTCGTATCTTGAGTAAAATTGGTACTTTGGAAGATGTTAGGCTTATTCTGTGACCTTACCTGTTTGACAGCCCGGGGGTTCCCATGTTTAGGATGTGTGAATTTGTTACCTATTATCTTCCACTTAGGTTTTCTACTTAGCAAAGTCTCGTTATTTCAGAACAAAAATATCTTCCAAATTCCTTATACGTTACTATGCAAATACTCTTTTAAGTATTTTTTAAGTCATTAGTTACACAATAAGTTATACAATGGTTCTTTTCGAGTTTTATAATAACATAGCCTCAAAAACAAATGTTGAGTAATAGGTACAGATTAGATAAATTTAGATCTGTGCACCCATTCAAAATGTAGAGTAGTAATATTGGAAAATGCTCTAGATAGAGTAAGTACAAAAAAGATGTGACAGTATGATCTTAATATTGTGAAAACAGTAAAGATAGGCATGCTGATACGTGGGTAGAAGCCATGCAATCACACAAAAAGAATATGAATGGGTCAGGGAAAAAAGACCTCTGAAAACTGTGTCCTTACTGCCTTAATAGTTGAATTATGCCAGAGACTGTTTCTCACCCAGTTGTTTCTCAGTCTTTAACCCACCTAATAAAATTGTGGTGCTATATGTTCTGTAGCTTGCAAAGATTTCACAGTATAAAGTGAGTGTATGAAAATAGGGAATGTTTTATATCATGTGGTCTCATCCCATGTTCCATTTTAGAATCACAGCTCCAAGCATCTAGGGTCAGCTAATGTTGGTTCCTGTGCTTCTCATGATTGCCACTCATAGCATCTAAACTCTTCCATACTTGAAATGGGTGTACATCTGTTTATAGAATTAGCCCCCAAAACTGAGAACAAAGGTCACTTCATTCCTTGATTCTGGTTTTTAGAAGATATTCAACACTTAAATGCCCAGAAAAATCAGGACGATAGGTAGAATCAATTGATGGAAATACCACTCTAAGATAACCCATTGGATAAGAACTTTGCATCAAAAAAAAAATGAAATTTAAAAAAAGAAAAAAAAGGAACTTTACATCAATACTAAAGGAAGAATAGCATGAATAACTCATTTCTTTAATTGAATTCTGTGTTAAATAACAGATCCAAGAGTTATTTCTTTATGCTTGTCCTTTTTCGTCCTTCCAGGTTATAGTATATTAAATAAGGTCATCTTTTTCATTGGGAGCTGTAATGTGAGATTATATGATAATAAAGATACAGTAACTCCATTATAAGAGTTTTGTACCACACTTAAGGTTGTGTGGTTTGTGTTTTTTTTTAAGCCACTGGAATGGTTTTTTGCAGTTGACAACATGTACAAATCTGCAATTGTATAATTGTTTGGTTTTTAAAATACTAAGTATAATAAAAGTATGTTTATCTTTAAGAAATGTGATGCATTAAAGAAGTCCTCTGTAAACATAATTCTCAGTGTATTTTCCTGCTTTGTTTCCTACATAAATAACAATGTAAATAGTCATAAATAAAACTATCAACTTTCATGGCCCAGTGGTATATACAAATTTTGGTGTTTGGCAGAAGGTGTTCTCTGTTTATATAAATTAAAACATGCAGCATTTGTAGTGATTATTAATGAAATCACTTATCCTAAGTCCTTACTGTAGCCCAACCTGCACTATCAATAGTAACCCTTATAGTGTACTTGGTAAAGATGCCACATGTTTAAAAAGTCAAAATGATTAAAAGAATAATAAAAAGTGACTGGGTGTGGTGGCTCATGCCTGTAATCCCAGCATTTTTGGAGGCTGAGGCAGGCAGATCACCTGAGGTCAGGAGTTCGAGACCAGCCTGGCCAACATGGTAAAACCCCCATCTCTACTAAAAGTACAAGAATTAGATGAGTGTGGTGGCAGGTTCCTGTAATCTCTGCTACTCAGGAGGCCCAGACAGGAGATAGCTTGAACCTGGGGGGCAGAGGTTGCAGTGAGCTGAGATCATGCCACTGCACTTAAGCCTGGGCAACAAGAGCAGGACTCTGTCTCCAAAAAAAAAAAAAAAAAAAAAAATTCTAAAAAGTAATATAAATATCAGTCTTATTAAAACCACTTTAGCTTTTCTGAAAAACAAAATGCTGCTAAGGAGTGAATGTTGTACAATTATTTAAATGGCATCTAACAAAATCTGAAATTTAAGGAACAAATCAAATTTTCGTCTTGCAAAAAAACACATTGAGATTGTTACAGGAACAGAATACTAAGTTTTCTAAAATTTGTTTCTGAGTCATCAATGAGTTAAAGCTTTAAGAGTTAAAATAATTTTAGAAAGCCATAATTCTTGATATAGAACATATAATTAGGTTTTAATGACCAGAAATAATTATTTCTTCATAAAGCATTAAATACCTTGAAACATACCACCTGTCTAATGATTTATCAGATAACCACTCAAAATTTATTAGGTACACATTTAAATTACTTTCATATAATAAAAGTCAACTGGAATTTTGCATATTCACTATTTCATTTTATACATTATCTTTTAGGTCTCGGAAAACATGCTTCATCAATCTATAAAAATGATCTGGTTCACACTGTTAACTGCCTGGCAACCTTTTAAAAACTTAAACAGCAGATTACAGGAAATGTTTCCACTGTTCTTTTAAGATTCTGAGATGCCTAATTAATCTAAATGAAAATTTACAAATGGTAGCCAAAATCTTATCAACTGTCAGCCCAGTGTAACAAATTTCATAGTTATGCATAAATAATTAAAAATTATTGAAATTTATAATGAAAACGTCAACAAGGCATATAACATCGTTTGTCAGATAGACACATGATAGACTATATAGAAAATTAAAGCTATCAAAGCTGTAAATAGTGTGCATAAATAACAGCAATGCCAAAGCATTAGGGCTGTTAAAATTATATAAACACATCTGATAGTTCTGTAAGCCACTCCCCACTGATAAAGCTATGGATAAAACTATTCCTGATAGTTCTTTCTGTAAGCTACTCTCCACTGATAAAGCTATGGATAAAACTAATTCCTTGCACAGCTTTCTAATAACTGATGATAAAGCTGAGTTAATTCCTTTTTTATAAAACTGTATCCCAACAGACAAAATGTCCATATCTTAAGTATTCAAAATTCTTGAAATCTCAAGCAGATTGTCCATGATCTTCCTAACTGCATTTGGATTTGCTGTTACCCTCAGATATTTTTTCCTTGAATTTACTAAGGTATCATGCTATTTAAAGATACTCAGCAAATGATGGAAACATGCCAAAAGGCCACTTTAGTTAAAATGGCTGTTAAAACTGTGTTTATTTTTCTTCCATGCTATCTTCTCATTTTTAGTGTAAAAATAGTACATATGGTATAACCCATTACAAAGAAAGGAAAATTGAAAAGCTGATGATGTGCAGTCATGTGTTGCTTAATGACAGTTCTCAGAAATGCATTTTGTGTTATTTCTTGTGGGCATCATAGAAAATACAAACTTGTACAGCATGTTACTGTACTGAATACAATACAATTTTAACACAATGGCAAGTATTTGTGTATGTAAATATATCCAAATACAGAAACGTTGTAGTAAAAATATGGTAGTATACTCTTACAGACTTACTGTATATGCACTCCGTTGTTGACCAAAATATTATATGGTACATGACTCTTCTGCTCCAAAAAGGACCAAAAAGGTGATAGTAGAGTTGGCGATTTTCCGATAAACAAAATAGGGAGGGATTCCAGAAGTTGTTAAGCATAGATTCTTGTGTAATGAATTAGAATAAAGGCACTAAATTACTAAGCTTTTTACCCTACTATCACAATTTGATTTATTCACCAATATTTCTCTCCAACATCAGAATACGTATGTATTCTGTGTAGTCTTGACTGCACTTGATCCTTTTGTTCTAATTTGAAAGCTAAACCTACTGAAAAAAGGATCTGTAGTTTGTCTTTTCTTTCCTACTTCTACTGTAATTCTGTACATATTCCCGTAAGGCTTCTGCCCCTACTACTTCCACCAAACTACTTTTGTTAAAGGTACCAATTGTTCTCCGTATTGCCAGATTACATAATCATTTCTCAATCATCTTATCCTCAGCAGTTTTCAATACAGTTGGCTACTTAATGCTCATTGGGAAAACACTTGTGCTTCTTAGTTTACACCTCTTAGTTTTTCTCTTGCATCTCTAGCTGGTCCTTCTCATTCTTCTTTGCTTGACTTCCCAAATGTAGTGGAGTGTTCTAGAACTGGAATCTAGGCTGTCTTCTCTAACCTCTTTAAGAAATCTTTGAAAACAATGTGTATGCCACTAACTCACATTTATAGGTCTAACGCTGGCCTGTTGAACTCTAGTTTTATATTTTTATCAGCTTGACATCTTCATTTAGATACCTTATATATTTGTCAGTATTAATATTAATAAAAATTACCTTTGAATTTTTAACCATGTAAACATGTTACACATTAAAAGTGAAACTAGGTCAGTTTCTTAAATGTTAATAAATGTACTGGCCATATATATAGCTTGGACTATAGGGGAAAAACAGTGAGTCAAGAACATGCTTAAGATGACAGGGGAATGGGCTCAGTTGTTCATGCCTGTAATCCCAGCACTTTGGGAGGCCAAGGCAGGCAGATCACCTGAGGTCAGGAGTTTGAGACCAGCCTGGCAAACGTGGTGAAACCCTGTCTCTACTAAAAAATACCAAAAAGCCGGGTGGGTGGCGTGCACCTGTAGTCACAGCTACTTCGGAGGCTGAGGCAGAAGAAATGCTTGAACCCCAGAGGCAGAGCGCAGTAAGCCAAGATAACGGCACTGCACTCCAGCATGGGTGACGAGTGAGATCCGTCTCAAAAGCAAAAAAAAAAAAAGCTACTGTATCCCCAATATCTGCATGTAGTAGAAGCGTAATGTATTTGGATATATTTGTTTATTGAACAAATAAGCTTGTTAGTTTATAAAGTAGCATAGAATTATTCACTAATCTCTAAAAGGAGTTGCAGAACTTTAAAAAAGGAGCCAGGATTCTGGTTCTTTTTCCCAAAGTTTTGGATTAACTTGGGTCTTTAAACAATTTTCATTCAAATGCTAAACCTGTGACCATTTTGTACCTATCAAATAAGCATTCTGCTTTTTGCTTTGAAGTTTTAAAAAAAACAACTATTGGCAAGATAACCAAGAGTAGAGTTTAGATTTCAATGATTGGGATATAAATTTGTGCAACCTTTTGGGTAAATTGCAGTATGATTGAAGAATTCTAAATTTGTCATTTCCTTTGATTTAATGGTTTTTATTTATTAATTTTCAAGGAAATAGAGTGTACAAATATGTTTTTCAGTATGGTTTAAGGAAATTAAAAATTGGGAACAACATAAATGTCCAGTAATAGGAGAACTGTTAAATGATGTCACACTTTTTATTGCAGCATAAATTTTATTTTTTGTTGTTTTATTTTTTGAGACAGGTTGTTGCTGTCACTCAGACTGCAATCTTGATTTCCTGGGCTGCAGCCATCCTCCTACCGTAGCCTCCTGAGTAGGTGAGATTACAGGCATAAACCACCACACAAGGCTAATTTTTTAGTTTTTTGTGGAGACTAGATCTCACTCTCTCAGGCTGTTCTGAAACTCCTGAGCTCAAGCGATCATCCTTCCAAAGTGCTGGGATTACAAGCGTGAGCCACCACACCTGATGCAGCATAAGTTTCAAGTAATAAAACTTGTGTTAGATGCCTCCCTTGGTTTCCTTCACACTTTTCAATCTGAGCAAATTCTAAAAAGCAGGATATAAAATTGCAAGATACACTATAGTCACAGACACATACATTGGGGGATAAGATTGGAAGGAACTACACCAAAGAGTATGAAAAATCATTTTTTGGAAAGTTTATGGATGATTTTGACCTTTTTTTTTTTTTTTTTTTTAATTTTTTTACATTTCTTTTCCCCATCTTTTGCAGCAGGTATTACTAACAAGCCAGCCTTTTAAAAATTAATGGATTCAGAAATGATGGCATGAAACATGAAATCTAATAGATTATGAAGTTTCTCCAGCAGGATCTGTACCTTTTCCACTGAAAATGCAAAGAGGATCTAATTAGAATGCTGCAAAAATTAAAATTGTAATCCCTAGTTTTGCTGAAACATCCCCTTGAACCTCAAATACTGTTTTTTTTTTTTTCTCTTTGGTTGGCCTTTGAGGATAAAGATGAGGAACTTATTGAAAGAAACTTTTGAAAACCATTTCATATTTCATAAAGTTTCACATTGCTTTCAAGAGCTTACTTGTAATTTGCTTTTTCTGTCCTAATGGTTTAAGGTTTTTTTTTTCCCCCCCCACAGATTACTAGATAGGGTTGTTCACCTGTCATCGGTATTTTATAACTTTTAAAGCTTTAAGATAAAACATTAATAATTATAAAGAAAAACTATAGTTAGTAGTAATATTTATCATAGTATATTGGTTGATATACACATCATGTTACATAATGGTAGCAGGGTCTGTAGTTCGTAGAACCACTAGCATAGCTGAACCTGTTTGTTTTGTTTTGTTTTCTAGAGAATGTTTGCCTGATGAGAGCCACGTGGGTTAAGAAACTACCCGTTAATATTTATTCATCATTTCTGTCCTTTCTTCATTGGGAAACACTTTTAGAGGCTAATTTCCCAAAGTCCTACTTAAAAAAGAATTCTAGTTTTGTCTTGCTCTTCTAGTTGAGATAACACAGAGGCTTGAGGCTAGACTGTCATCAGCATACTGCTATCCTACTCATTTTTTCTTACTAAGCCTTATTGTGTGTAATGCTGTTACTTTTTCAGAGTGTTGCAGAGATAGGAACATGGGGGAGAAACAATCTGGATAACATGAAAGTGATGCTGCTGGCTAAGGGAGGACAACTTGATTCTGTGGGAAGGGCTGTAGCTGATCCATCCATTGTCTAGGTAAGTCTGTTTTTGTTGCAAAGACCTCACATGATTTGCAAATTTGTCAAAACTAGATGATGATTTCCATTTACCTTTATTTTGTGAATGGCATAATTACCGTCGTAAAATGAATAATGTCCTTTTCAAATAGTAATTTGTATAGTAAAATTTTAATGAATTATTGGATCTTCCCCATGTAATTGTTAATATATTTAGGTTAATATATTTTTTGTGCCAAGGAAAATACATTCACTTCAATGGTAAATATATGAATGGACTAATATCTTGTGTATAGGAGCCAGAGAGAGCCCGGCATGTTGGCACACACCTGTACCCAGCTACTTGGGTGGCTAAGAATATCGCTTGAGCTCAGGAGTTCAAGGCTCTAGTGCACTTACGGTAGTGCCTCTGAATAGGTTCTGCACTCCAGCCTGGGCAACAATGAGCAAGACCCCTTCTCTAAAAGAAAAGTTTAATAAACATTGAGAAATTATATCAGGGTTTATGTCCTCTGCGTTATTTAGTTGGTAAAACATGTGGATAAAACCAAAAGTGAGTATTGAGGCAAGAACGTCCTTAAACCTTATGAGGTGTTTCTGAAGACTTCAACCAGGCCATTGATTACAGTTTCATACCTCCGCCTGCCCGCCCACCAGCCATGAGGTATTACATTCTGAGACTAATTATTCTGTCTGTCTGAACAAGAGGAAAATAATATTTGTGTAAAATAGCAGGTAAGGATACTTTGAACAATGAAAGTACTTGTTTCAAAAGAAGGCCTAACTCATCTCTTAAAATTGCAATTTGGTAATGATGGATATATGCACTTGTTCAATATTAAGAACACAGCAAGAATTATTTAGCATTCCTATTTTTTAGATAATAGAGCCTAAATACCTGTAAAAATGTTTTGGAAAAATAATTATTAAATCAAGATAAAATTTTTGATGAATCCAAGTTAAGCACCTGCAGAGCTGTCCATAAAGACACAATCAAAAAGTGGTGAGAGTTTTGTCGATATGACAGTCTTTTGTTGGATGTTACCAAAATCTTTCTTAAAGTATTATAAATGTTGTAGGTTTTCAAAATTTATCAGAGCCATCAGATTCTTGCAGATTACCTTATTCTAAATAATGGATATAAATTTATGAAAGGCAGTTTTTGAAATCTGAACTCTCATTGCAATTTTACATGAAGAACCCTATAGGCAGATACCCAAATAAATGTGTGTGGTATTTCGGGGGATGTAAGGGGAATACTTCATATTCACATATGTGAATAATTTTTGAAATCCTAACCTGGAGTCTGTTCTTGTACAGATTTGAGTATGAGCACAGTGGAAGAGGATTCTGACACAGTAACAGTAGAAACTGTGAACTCTGTGACTTTGACTCAGGACACAGAAGGGAACCTCATTCTTCACTGCCCTCAGAATGGTAGGAGAACTTGCTGATATATAATTCTGACTCTTTGCAAAATTTCTGAATTCCGTGTCACTTTTGACCCCAATTGCCCAAATGAGTATAGGCTACACAGTAGAAAACGAGATTATCTCTTTCAGTTGAACGTAAGTGTTAGCCTTTGTCAATCTTGTTGCTATATTGTAAATAAGACCTGTTGAGCCCCCAGAGATAATGAGGAAATAACTATAATATATACCTCTTTTTTAATACTAATTGGTGCCAGCAGTATATTTAATACATTAGAAAATGTAGAATTAGTCCTCAATGCAAATAGATTCTTTTGTTAGAACCTATGTTAAAGAATTGTACACAGTCAATTGAATATGACTTAATATGATCATCTGCAATGAATTAATATTCAATGGGCTTCCAGCTGATAACTTTGTTGTTACTCCTCTACTTGCTGTTTGTTTATGCCATTTCTTTATTGTGCTTTTACGTTCATCTTTACTCAACCTTGGTTATCTTTTCACTCTACTCATAATTCATAGGTTATTTAATTCAAACTTATGATTTTAACTAGCACCTACCTATAAAGATGACTCAGACTCTGTCTTTATACAGATTTATCTGTGCTTCTCATAGGCACCTTAAGTTTCATATGTCCCAAACAATCCTTACTTGTATTTACTTCCTAAACCTAGTTCTCTCTTTTCCTTTCTCTGTGAATTTCATTACTTAGTATGCAGATCATGAATGTGGTTGGGAATAAATCATTTCTCTCATCGCCTGCATAATTTCATTTGAAGACTTGTTTATAGCATTATGTTTTTAAAATCTATTGCATCCTCTCTGTTTCAAGCCCTCCTTTGTTAGTTTAAATTCTCATTTTTCCTCCAGGTAGCTCTAATAGCCTTTTAACCATTCTCCTACCTATAATTCATCTTTCAAGCTGCTGATGAAATTATTCATGATATGCTTAATAGCATAAAGTTTCCCAAGGTTTTTAGAATATAGTACAGGTTCTTTAATTTGGCCCATAGGTCTCCAGTCATTTCTGCTTTCCTCATAGTCTCACCTCCTGCCGTATTGCATATACCTGTGTACCAGCAGATCACATTTTCCGAACATACCTTAATCTTCTCATACCTCCATACCACTGCACATATTGCTTCTACTGCCGAGAGACAGCAGTTTTTCCTGGGCTTCCCTTCTCTCTTAAGTTTAGGACACCTCTTACAGGAAACCTTCAGAAGTTGAATACTCAAATAGGCATAGAAAGGCAGGGTCCTTTTGAATCCTATTTGCACAACTAGGTTTAGTTAAATGAGCAAATGGGTAAGAAGATTGTTTTAATGGATAAGAAAATTGTTATAGAGTCATTATTAGAGATTTTGTTTTGCCTCATTGGTTTGAATTTTTTGAGATTTTTGTTTGTTTTCTTCCATTAGAAGCGGATGAAATAGACTCAGAAGATAGTATTGAACCTCCACATAAAAGACTTTGTTTGTCCTCTGAGGATGATCAGAGTATTGATGATTCTACTCCTTGCATATCAGTTGTTGCACTTCCACGTAAGTCACTATGTATTAAGAACACAGAATTCCCTTTTGACATCTAAATTTAGCTTGTAAAACATCCAATTGACATTTCTAGATAGACTTGGACTCATTGCTTTTTTCTTCATTTAGTGAAAACATCTCTTTTTAACTAACAATAAATACAATGTGCCAGACATATCGTTAAATGCTTTTACATATATTGCCTACTTTAATCTTCCCGACCTTTTTTTCAATTGCCTCACAAGGAGCCTTTTTAGACTTTTTTTTTCCCTGATTGTACTCTTCCTTCATGAAAAATACAATATATCCTCAAAAATATCCTGTATTTCCTAATGTACTGTCTGTATGTCCTTGCTTTTGTTCATAAAGATAGTAAAATTTGTTGTCACATGCATTTCTCCCCATCCCAAGAACCGTATTTGCCCTCATAGAGAAAGCATGCTTTATAAGAGATACTAACATTATTATTTATATTTTATAAGTCAGGAACCTGAGACACAGAAAATTATAATAACTTGACTAACAGCGATTCTAGGCATTCTGGTTCCTGTAGTACATACTCCTAACCCCAATGCCATATTGCCTCTTCAGTATGCTATATGATAACATGAAAGTTAGATAGAACCCTAATTAGTTTACTCTTGCCGAGAAAGTTTTTAATGTGTTTCTATTCCAAGATCATTTAAAGTAGACTGGATTCTATAGGAGGTATAATATCTCAAGTGTAATACTGTTGGCACAAGACAGCATACCAACTGCAACATTAGATTGTATTTCTGATTTGCTTAGCAAAGAGTATGGAGTGTTCAGGAAGATTCCAGAGTAGATGCCTTAATCCATGGCAGTGGACATGGAGCACATGGCTGTTGGTGGCACTCTTAGCACAAAGGAGGGTTTTGCCATATCTGAGAACTTTGATTTTACACTCAGCATCAGGCAAAATCACATCTTCATCTTTTGAAAAAGGAAGACTAGGTTTTGAGCATGGAAAATTGTATCTTAACAAGTAGATATGTACTCTGAATGTAGAGTTAATTTGCTTGCTAAATTGAACAGAAAAGAAACTTTTAGTTTACTATTAGACTATACTGAAAAACAGTGTTAATATTGCTTCCAGTTGTGGCATAACCAAGCATAACGTATTTATAATTAAATATTCTTTCTTCCTAATCATGATTCCTATGTTTTCTTAAATCTTTCCTAATTTGACTATTATTATGTTGTAATTCAATTCTAAAACTTAACTGGCCTTTCTATACAGCTGTCATCCTAAGTATTTTCTAAAGTAGAATTTTTGAGTGGCTATTTTGATATAAAGTGACTTTAACCAATTCATTTGGTTAAAGTGAAATACCTTGTTCATGATTGTACGTTCAAAATATACTTGATATTTTGTTTTATTTTATGGTGTAACCAAATCCTTCAGGGCACTGTTCACTTAGCTTCAGATAATAGAGATATGTTGACATGAAAGCACATGAGCTGCTTTATGAGGGATCATAGCATCATCACATATGGAAGACACACTGGAGCATAATATTTAGCAATAAGACTGATACAGTTTATCTGTGTGGATCGTAAAAATCCTCACAGCATCAGCCTAACTCATATTAATCATTCTAACTCACTAACCACTTATTTTTGTAGTCATCTGCCACTACATTTATCTCAATCCCTATTTGTAGTTATTACTCTATGGTGATTACAGTATTCATCTAGATGATTCTTTCAGTACCTTACTCCCTTATTCCTTTTGTTCTCTATTTATTACTTCCTTTACCACTCTTACCTATTTCTGGAGTTCATTTGTGATCTATTTCAGACTTGCTATTTTCCTACCACTACTTCTATCTTTCCAGCTCACTTCTTGTAGTACTCTTGAACTCCTGAAGTCTTTTGCCTCACTGGGACCTGCTGATCCTATTACTTTTTTATTGTTCCTTCTCTGTTTGTATCCTTTCTTTTCATTTTACCCTGTTTCACTTTTATGGTTAATCATTATAATCACTATAATCACTGTCTTGCATTCACCAAGTCCTTTGTTTTTCTCTTACTTCACTGTTTGGTGAAATCATAACTGTCTAAATCTATCTTTGCCTATTTATATCTGTACCAGTGCACCTAATTGAAAAGGATTAGAGAAAAATGGCACAAGCAGGCTGACTATTCTCACTTTAATTCCTGATCACTAACCTGAAGTGGGCTCCTAATGCTGCCCACCAGTAACACCAGTTTTCTAGTGGTTTTTTTTTCCACTTTGAGATGACTGTTTCATAGCTCCTGAAACTTTTGAATACCTCTTCCACCTTTTTACTTTGAGCTAGTAACCCTAGTTCCTCTTCACTAAGAAAATTGAAGTAACCAGAAAATAATTTCTACCAATTCCCACTACCACAAATATATACCCACCTGCATCTATGTCCATATATTTGTTATCCTATCTTAGACTTAGCCTTCCATTTACTAGGTTTCATCCCCTTTACCTACTCAAGGACATTGTTCCAATAATTATTTTATCTCTTCTGTATCACCAGTTTTTCGTGTACTAAATCATTCTTATTGGTATTGCAAACGTACTGTTATTTTTTCTTTAAAATAAAAAGTCCCTGGTCAATCCCAGCACTTTGCAAGGCCAAGGCAGGCACTTTGCTTGATCCCAGGAGTTTGAAACCAGCCTGGGCAACATGGCAAAATTCTGTCTCTATGATAAATACAAATTAGCTGATACAGTGGTGCACACCTGTATTCTCAGCTACTAGGGAGGCTAAGGTGGGAGAATCTCTGGAGCCTGGGAAGTTGAGGCTGCAGTGAGCTGTGAGCATGCCATAGCATTCCAGCCTGGGCAACAGAACAAGATCCCGTCTAAAATAAATAAATAAAAAGTCCCTTTGGCTCACCTTTGGTCCTTATTCAATTTTTCTCCTTGTGTTTAGAGCAGAATACCTTGAAAATTACCTATATTTGCCTTCATTTCCTTTCCCCCATTTTTCCTTAAACTTAATCCAATCAAGCTTTCACCCCTTAACTAAATTGTTTTTCTCAGCTCTCCAAAGACCTTCTTGTTGCCAAATTCAGTGGCCACTTTTTTAGTCTTTGCCTTTCTTGATCTGTCAGAAACTTTTGACAGTATTTATTATTCCTCCTCCCTGAAACATTTTCACTTGACTTTTAGGAAACATTTCTCTGGTTTTCTATTTTTCTGTCCATTTCTTCTTAGTCTCTAATGCTGACTTTTCCATGTCACCAGAACCTCTAAATGTGGAGCACCCCAGGACTAAGTCCTTAGACTGCTTCCTTGTTTTCTTTACTCACTTTTTAGGTGATCTCAACTTGAGATTTTAAATACTATCTGGTGTTAACTACCGGATTTATTCCAGACCAGACTTCTCGCTTTCTAAATATATGGTAGTTGTCTCAAACTAATGTGTTTAAAGTAGAGATTCTATAACTTCCTAAATCCTTAAATTTGCTTCTTTTACAATCTTCAACTAATTAGTAGCAAGTGTATTCCAGTAGTTTTGATTTTTAAAAAAAAAAAAAAATTTAATGTTATCCTTGAGTCTTCAGTCTCTTCTATCTCGTTTGTCTACAAATCATATTGGCTCTGCCATCCAAAATACATTCACAATTTGAACTCTCAGTTGCCTTCACCCTAGTCCAAGCCACTGATAGATCTTGATTGCATTTGCCTCTTAACTGATCTCACTCCAACTCTTGCTGCCCTTCAAACTGTTTTTCTTATAGCAGCCAGAATGAGCCTGTTACAATATAAGATTACTTTATTCAAAATCTTCCAGTCATTTCCCACCTAAGAGTTAAAGCCAAAGCCTTTTGGCTTAGAAGGCCCTACACAATCTCCTGCATGTTCTTATTTAGTCTGTTTTAGCTACACTGGCTTCCTTGCTATTCCCATGAACACTCCAAGCATGCCCCATCTCAGAGCCTTTGCACTTTGGCTCTCCTTGAAAAGGTCTTCCTTAAGACACCTGCAAAACTAGCTTCCATCCTCACTTTGTTCTCACTTTTCCTAGCTCCTATATAAAATTTCAAATACTGTTCTTCATCCCAACACATTCTCTTTCCTGTTCTATTTTTTCTCACTGCTTATCACCATCCAACATAGTATCTTGTCCATTTTGTGTCTTTCCCCACTAGAATATAGGCTCCAAGAAGAAAGGATTTTTGTTTCCCCAGCCCCTAGAGCAATACCTACTATGAATTAGGTGCACATTAAGAATCATTAAGCAAATGAACATATACATGTGAAGATGTATTAACAAGGAGCGTGTTAGAAAATTAGGTGATTGTGTTTTTTTCCCATGGATATTTTTAGAATAATCAGAATTTGCCATTATTATTTTGGAGATGAACTGTTCCTTTTCTTGAAGTTTCAGAAAATGATCAGAGCTTTGAGGTGACCATGACTGCGACCACAGAGGTGGCAGATGATGAGGTTACTGAGGGGACTGTGACGCAGATCCAGGTATAGTAAATCTTTTAACTGGCCTCGGGAGGATGATCCTTTACACATTGCTTAGGTGATAAAATGATAAGAAACCTCAGCCTCCCAAGTAGCAAGGACTACAGGAACATGCCACTGTGCGCAGCTTTGGCCCTTATTACAAAACAAATTATAAAGTTGTTTTGTTTTGATTACTGCCAAAGAGTTAATGAGTTATAATTTAATATTTAGCCTCTTGGTTTGTTATCACCATTTTAGTGAACAAAAAACTTTTCATAATTTCTAATATTTGTTTAATAAGATTAACTTTAGACACAAAATGGACAAGATGTGAGTTGAAAGTCAGCATGGTTTAAAAGTTCAGAAATAGTCTGTTTCTGACTATATCTTTGCTGTAAACCAGTTGCAGCTATTTGGCGTAGTTTGGCAGTTAATGTATTGTGTCTCATTCCACTAATGAGACTGGCTTGAAAAATAATTAGAAACTATTATAAGTCCCTATATATAGTACTTTGTGGTTACAAGAGGTCTTCAGTCAGCTGAATATTTTAGATTTATAAGCCTTATATATATTATAGACATGAAATCCTGCAACCAACTCGTAAAAGCTTCATTTTAAAAGCAACAGCATACTACATAAAGCTGAGTAAACTTAATAGATGCATAAAGTAAAATATAGGAATACTGTAAAGCTTATTAATATTTATATACAAAGTATAGATAGGTATATAAATACCCTTCAAGGTACTTAAGTCTCCTGCTGTACTCACTGAACTCATTTGTTATTGACAGTGTTGAATACTTCTGCTAAATAATTATTTGCTCATTTGATGGCTATTTAAATGTTTAAATAGCCATGTCTAAAGACACTACATGACTTACATGATCACTGTAACTCTTGAGAGGGAAAATTTGAGCCATAAGTCATTAAGTGTTTACCCCAAAATAGTGGTTAATTAGCATGACAGACTTATTCCTAAGGTTCACGGAATGGGCTCTGCTATATAGACATACTTTGAGGAATGGTGATTTTATTCTTATATCAAACTGGTTAATTTAAGAGATGATCATTTAAGAGAATTTTCTACATTATAGTTCTTAAAAGTGAGTATGTATCAAGGTCTTTTGATAGCTCTCTGTTATACTGTTTACTGATGTATAACTCCAGGATCAAATCTTGTAGGAATTCACTCAAGGAGGTGGAAAAAATATTAAAGGAAAAACAGTAGAAAAAGTTACAGAATATAGTCTTGAACCCTTTTAGAAAGCCTAAAAGTTTTTTCATAGTTTCAGTTGAAGTTTCAGCTGGAGGCAGCCTAAATCCCCTTTACATTTAGTTAATAAGTAAAGCAAATAGCTAAAGTATGTGGAGTTTACCTAAATAACTTGTTGACTTGTGTGGTCTTAAAACTAACCTTTGAGCCAGATGGTCCTCTCAGGAGAAGGTTGACCAAGGAAATTACCGTCTAATGGTGTTTGCTTTAAGCATCATCACCTGTGCTTTAGTCTTCATTATAGTGGTGTTGACTTGGGCTTTGTCAATTAACCTTTGCTAAATAAATGCAAGTCTCATTGGCTGAGGAAGACTGGCAGCAAAGTATCTGTAAAGAGGCTGTGGACCCTCAGCCGAACTGGTGAAGCATAATATCTGTGTGTCAAGTGTACTTTATTCATCCGTCGCTGAGTCAAGGTCTACAGGACAGACTCCCGACAGTGGTGCCCAAACATGGGGAAACCCCAACAAATCTTATAAAATTGTAATCTTCAGAATATAAGAAGCCTTAGACACATCTAGTCTGTCTCAATTCTTAGCTTTATAAAGGTCTCTCTTGATTAAAAAAAAAAATAACAAAACATATGACACATAGAGGAATATAAAACTTTTCACACTTGTTCCAGTGATTTCCAGCTTTTTGCCCATGGTTTCAAAAACACTTTCATAACACACTATATGTATTACCTCCAGATATAAAGAGATGTGGCTTTTCTCCTAATTGCACCATGGTTGTCCCCTGATAGCTTATCTCTTTCCAAGAGAGATGGGTTTCAATTTCTCTTCATATTAGAAGTTCAGTTTCTGCTTATTCAAGTAGTATTAGTCCAATCCTTCTTGGGATTTACCTTCAGCCAGTGACATTGCTAGTTTTTTTAGCCTAGAGACTGAATTGGGTTGAGTGGTCACTAAACGTGACTTTTCTCTTATTCTGCCCATGATAGGCTATTACCTGATATGGTAGCACTGTTTTTGCCAGGTCTTCCTTATATACTTTATAGTTCTCTTCAGGCCTTTCAGGCCAGGGTCAATTCTGTTGAAGGCATCTCCCCACCGACCAGCAGATTTTGTAACTGAAAATGTAGCTGGTGGTAGTTGCACAGAAAACTTAGCTGCTTTAAGAATAAGTAATACCATGCAGTTCTTTGAGAGGAAGATACGTTAATTAGGCTCTAGAGGTTGGTGAAAACAAAGTTGTCAGAAAACAATACGCAGACCATGATTTTACAATAATGACTTATGATTTAGCCTGTTAATCTTTTAAGTTAAGCAAAAGATTACATCATTGGTGATTTAGGCAGCAAGCATATCTCTGAGGGTGTTAACAAATCATAACACCCAACCCTAGCAGTTACATTTTGCTGTCTAGAACAGATAGCTGTGTATTATTGAGCTTATTTATATATGTAAATATTTAAATTTTCCTGAATGTTCTATGTTGATTTAAATACTTAATAGACTCTTGGCCCATTTTATACATGTTACATTTACTTGCTTAAATGAAGGTCGTATTATGTTAATGCATATAATTTTGTTTTCATACTGCTATAGTAAAACAGCAAGCAATTTTTTTTGTAAATTGAATATATTTTTACTATATCTAAACCAAGTGAATTCCATATTACTATATTAAAATTTTATAATGCCTAGAATTATCAAGATGAATCAGGTTGGGCATTAAATCAATCTGCTCCCCCTTTTTTTTAACTTTTACCTTTTCAAGATTTTGCAGAATGAGCAACTAGATGAAATATCTCCTCTGGGTAATGAGGAAGTTTCAGCAGTTAGCCAAGCATGGTTTACAACTAAAGAAGATAAGGATTCTCTGACTAATAAAGGTAAGATATACTGTGAATTTTAGTGCCCAGTGGAAAAAAATGGAGATAGAGAGGGCTTATAGTCAAAAAGATTCTGAATTGGACCTTTGTCATTGGAATTTAGCAATTAAAGTAGTTGAGCTTTTCTAACTGAAATAAATTTGATCCCGAATGACTTTGAATTAAGGTTATGAAACCACCATCTGTTTTTTAGTAATTATTTTTCTCCTTCTGATTGGAAATAAATTTTGTCTTGTTAATTTTTGAACAAACGTATAGTGGTGTCATCTAAGACAATACAGTTATTGCTTATGGGAGTAGGAAGTCAAGCCTTTTCAAGAGTCTACCAACTTTGGTCTGATAAGTGGCTTAGAGGCTCAAGGTAACATAGTGTTCATAGTGCTGGCTATGCTCAAGCATAGCTGGGAAAGCTGCTACCAAAAAAGTGAGCTTTGTATCTATGCCACTCTGAAGGACAAAAAGGAAGCAGAAAAACGTAAATCATTTTCAAGCACTGTGTAGTAAATGCTCATTAAGAATACAGTATTCACTTGGTATTCAATATTTACCTTGCCCTACAGTCTTTCGTATATGTTCTTCAGCCCATAAAATTTTCATTGGAGAAGTTTTTCAAAAAGTTTTGAGCATGATTTGGCCTTTCTTATTTTTATACATCTCTTTTTAGCAGTTTTGTACTGCTGAAAGGGCGAGAGATAATAGTTTTAAAATCTTTAATTACCATTGTCTTTTTTTTAGTAGGATCAAATAAATGTATTCTAGCCTAAAAACCAGAGGTTACAAAAGCAAGTTTACCTAGAGACCTTTTAGATTTCAGAGGAATTAGAAATGAAATTAGCTACATTTTATCCCTAAATATAATTTAATCACAAAGGAAATTTATTGTTTTCTTTCAAGGAGTAACATTTTTTATAACATTGCTTGTTTTCTTTTAAAGGACATAAATGGAAGCAGGGGATGTGGTCCAAAGAAGAAATTGATATTTTGATGAGCAATATTGAACGCTATCTGAAGGTATCTCACAACAAATTTTTATGTTTCAATAATTTGTTTATTGCCAATTGCAGAAATTGACACAGCATATTGTATGTACTTACTAGGAGCTTCTTGCTTATTTTGTAATGGATGATTGGGTAACATAGCCCAATAATTCTAAAACATGTCATTATAATATAATATTTTGAATTCTCACTTTAAAATAGCTTTGCTTCTTTAGTTACCACCCTTAAGTTTAGATAAAATCCTAATAGCCTCTCAACATTTTAAAGCCTTATCTTTTCAAGAAGCCTATAGAGTTTAATTCATGTTGTTTAAAGCTTAAGGTATGCATCTTTGGTTTTTTTTGTTTTGTTTTTGCTTTTGAGATGGAGTCTTGCTCTGTTTCCCAGGCTGGAGTACAGTGGCACAATCTTGGCTCAGTACAACTCTGTTTTTCGGGTTCCAGCTATTCTCCTGCGTCAGCGTCCCGAGCAGCTGGGATTACAGGCATACACCACCATGCCCAGCTAATTTTTGCATTTTTAGTAGAGACGGGGATTTCACCATGTTGACCAGGCTGGTCTCAAACTCCTGACCTGAGGTGACCCACCCATCTCGGCCTCCCAAAGTGTTGGGATTATAGCCATAAGCCACCATGACTGGCTAAAGTATTCATCTTTGAATGAATTTTTCATGTCATACCAGCCCTTCTCTTCTAAAAATATTAAAATTTAGTTAATTTTCTTATTCAGGTTTATTTCTTGTTCGCTTAGTACACTTCATTAACATCCTTTGAACACGGTAGTTTTTAAGTATTGGATTGTATTAAGGCATGGATTGCTTTAACACACAGTGTTTGCCTTTGAAGTCAGTGATCCATTTGGGCAGGCTGGAAACAGGTGAAGAATGATACAAAGCTTTGTATCATGTGAGTGGTACATGTGAGTTCTGTACAAGTTTACAAAAAGAGTTTTTAGAGCAGTTACGAAAATTTTGGAAGAGCAAGGATTTGAGCTGTCTTAAAAGAGTGGAACTTGGGCTAGAGTAGAACCGGAGTGAACCACATGAATGCATGTTGAAGTGGCAAGAAATCAAAGATCCAAACCAACACACATTAAACCCTTTACCTTGAACTGAGATAAGTAGCCTCTGGAAAACTAGGCTTTGAAGTCCATGCCGAAGAATTAGAACTTTATCCTATAGGAAATGAGAAGGTATTAAAGGGTTTAAGAAAAGCTAGTAGTTTAGTTGAATAAGAAATTGGTGGGGTAGATCAGTATTCTCAAGGAAATCTTTCCAGGGACTTGCTGATCATCTCTGTAATGGAGTTAGAATCAAATAGTGTTATGTCTGAAGTGTAGACCATTAACACATTTAGGGAAGGATGGTATACCTTCTCCTGTCATTTGATTAATCGATTGCTTACTATTTTCCATGCTACACTAATGTGGAAATACAGTGCTGCCTAGAAGGTTCACATTTTGAAGTTTAATTTTAACTGCAACCTTCCCAAGCTAACCTTTGTGAAATGCAGAATTTTAAAACTTTAATTATTCACTAATAAATGAGATCTTTCCACCATGTTTGTTGTTTTAAGAGAAACAAATACAGTGGCCTTTGAAAATGAATCCAGAAGTGTGTTTAAGTTGTCCACTAGTCACATATGGTTTAGTTATACCTGGAAAATGCTATTAGTTTAGATAAAGCAGTAACCAGTGCCAAGGAACAGTGAACTTCGGGAATTAAGCTGGTTTCTTATATAGGGGATCGAAGTAGATAATCTCCAAGGACCCTTCCAATTTAGTGATTAATGAGCAGAAGTGAGTAGGAGACCTTTTAGAGGACTGAAGTACACCAACTGAGAATTGATAGGGAAAGGGCAGATAACCAAGTAGTCTGTAAGGATGCCTGGTGACTAAATGTTGGGAAAGAGGGAAAAAAAGGGTTGGAGCAACTTAAGAGTTTTTATTTTAGGTGACTGGGAGAGTGATGATTAGATGGGCAGAAATAGGAAATGTCCAAAAGATTATCTTGGAAAAAGATAATTTGTTCAATTTTTATTTTTGATCATAGCTTTTATTATGTGGTGCTCTTTTAAGAATTCTGTAGAGCCAGTTTTAAACTTCAGAGAATTCCAATTAGTTTGATGTCATAAGTTTCATATTTGGGTTAAAAAGATAAATGAGAGTGACTTCCACAAGAAAAAGGGCAAGGAGTGTGGAGGTAGTAGAATCTTTTGTCTCACTATATGGTCATCCTGCAGCACAGTGTTCCTTGCATGTAGTAGCTCAGTAAATATTTAATCATTTGCAAAACTGGAACTGCATAAGTGAAATAATTTTAGAAAACATTCTAAAATTTAGAATTTTTTTGCTGTGAAGTTGCATACACTGATTTCACCTGTTTTAGAAATTTATATAAAGAGATTGATTCTCTGGATATTCTGTAACTTCTTTTGCTCAATATTATGATTTTAATATCATAAATATATATATCAATATATAAATATAAATAAATATCAATGAAATAGATGTATTTCATTGTACAAATGTACAAGTTACCCATTTCTCAGTTAATGGTCAATAGGTTTTTTTTTGTAGTTTTTTGCTATTCATTTGTACAAATTTAGTGGGTGGTAATTATGGTTTTAATGTGTTTATCTGATAACATTTTGATATGCTTATTAGCTATTTGTGTTCTTCTTTGAAATTCCTGTTTGTGTCTTTCACCAGTTTTTCTGCGGGGTTACCTGTTTTGTTTGTTTAACTTAGATTTTCTTACGTATGCTGGGTGTTAATGGTTTACTGGTCATTTGTATTACAGATACCTTGTCCCAATTTAGTGGCCTGTCTTTTCTTTCTCCTTAGGTGTCATTTGATGTGAAAATATTGTTAATTGCAATATCAAATGCATTATCTTTTTTGTCTGTTTGTTCTGCATGCTTCCTTGTTTAAGAAATCCTTCCCTGCCTCAAGGGCATGAAGACATTCTCACATTATTTTGTAAAAGTTTTATAATTCTGCATTTCATTGCTGTAGGTGTGAGATATAATTTGAATTGTGTCTCTTTCTGTATAGATGTCCATCTAATTCCTAATTTACAGTGTCTATTCTGTCCTAAATCAAGCTGCCACAAATTTGTTTCTAGGTTTTCAGGTTCTGTTTGTTGATTACCTGTACCAGTACAGCACTGTTTTGAGAAGTCCCATTATCCGATGGGCCCAGTCTCTCTATAAATGTCTTGGCTGTTCTTGGCCCTTTGTTCTTCTGTTATGAATTTAGAATCAGCTTGCAGAGAGTGAAACACTCAAATGGAGGTTTTTTTTGTTTGTTTGTTTGTTTGTTTGTTTTTTGTTGTTGTTTGTTTGTTTGTTTGTTTCTTTTGAGGCGGAGTTTCGCTCTTGATACCCAGGCTGGAGTGCAATGGCGCGATCTCGGCTCACCGCAACCTCCGCCTCCTGGGTTCAGGCAATTCTCCTGCCTCNGGTTCAGGCAATTCTCCTGCCTCAGCCTCCTGAGTAGCTGGGATTACAGGCATGCGCCACCATGCCCAGCTAATTTTTTGTATTTTTAGTAGAGACGGGGTTTTTATTGGATGGTGTTGAATTTGTACATCAATTTGGGGGGAATTAATATCTTCATAGTATGTCATCTTTCTGTTGAAGAACATTGTATAACTCTTCATTTTAGTTCCTTTTCAATGTCAAGTTTTATATTTTCCTTCATAAAGGACATTGATAACTTGCCTCAGTTCTGATGCTCTAAATTTTGATGCTGTGTGGGAAGTTTTAAAAATACTACTTAAACTTTGTATGGAAATGCAAATAACTGCATATTGATTTTGTATCTAGCAACCTTGCTAAAATTAGTTATTTTTTAAATCACATAATTTTTCTTCATAGATTTTTGGTTTCTATATATCTATTACCAATGATTCTTCTTTTCCAATCTTTACATTTTTGCTTTTTAAAATCTGATTATCAGCGAATTCTAATTTGCTAAGACTTTATCATACATACATGAATATTGAATTTTATGAATGGTTTTCCCACATCTGTTGAGATTTTACTTTTTTTCCATAAATCTGCTGATGTGATTAATTACATTAATAATTTTCCTGAAATTAACACAAACTTGTATTCCTGGGATAAACTTTTTTACCTAGACATATTAATGTTTTTATACATTGCTGGGTTCAGTGTGCTAAAATATTATTAGGAAATCTATGTTAATGAATGAGTTTGACCTGAAAATTCTTTTCTGAAACTGTTGTTTTCTAGTTTAACTATTAATATTATCCTAGCCTGATAAAATAAGCAAAGAAATGTACCCACTTTTTTCTTTTTTTTTTTTTTGCAAACTTTTGAATAGTTTAAGAACAAGATTATGTGTCTATTTGGTAGTATGTACCTATAATGTCATCCATATCATGTGGGCCTAGTGTTTTTATTGTGGGAAGATTATTTAATAACTGATTAGATTTTCTTGATGGTCTGTAGCTATTCGATTTTCTGTCTCTTCTAGAGTCATTTTTGGTAAGTTGAGGTCTTCTAGGAATTTATTCGTTTTGCCAAAATTCAAATTTATTACCATAAAATTGTTCATATTATTATTTTGTTAATGGTCTAATCTCTGCAGCATCTCTACTTAGGCCACATTTTTCCATTTCTAGTATTGTTTGTGTCTTTTAATTTTGGCAGAACTTTAATCATTAATAAAATCATTCAGATTTTATTAATCTTAATGGATATTTTCAAAGAATCAATTTCTAGATTTGTTTATCCTTTCTATGCTTTGATTCTGGATTCCATTGATTTTGCTCTTGTGATTTTCTTCCTTATACTTTCTTTAGATCTATTTTTAATTTTTTATAATTTCAAAAGGAGTTGACAGAAATTGAATTTATTGAATTTGATAGTTTATTCTTGGAATATTTAAGTGTCACTTATCTCTTGCAACATCTTAAAAGTTTATATTTGATTTATTAATGAATTAGTGATATATTCTTTTTCTAAATGCCATTGATGACCTTTAACATGAGAACAAATTTTAAAAGCATAGTATATCTATATGCATTTTCTCAGAAATCCCTAAATCAAAGAAATGTAACCCATTTAGGCACGCGGAATAAAAGATGCTACAGAAATCATCTTTGAGATGTCAAAAGACGAAAGAAAAGATTTCTACAGGACTATAGCATGGGGTCTGAACCGGCCTTTGTTTGCAGTTTATAGAAGAGTGCTTCGCATGTATGATGACAGAAACCATGTGGGAAAGTATGAAAACTTGTAATGCTGCATGTTTTCATGTAATTAGGGGAGATACTTGAGGAACTGTCCATTTCTTAAAACGTAGAATTATGGTCAAGGTATTAATTGAAGACAGCCATGAATTATTGTTAATATTTTTATCCCCCAGGTCCATGTTGTGAATATGGTAAAACCTTATTATTAAAGCCTCTTTTAGAAATTAGGTTGTAATTCACTTTATATCGGTTAGATTTAAGACTTGGCCGACTAAATATGTCAAAGTCTGCTTTGTAGTAAAATAACATAAAAAGTACAGTACTGGTTAAAGATTTAAGAAGTTTGAAAATAACTTGAAATTTATTGGTAACATTTTTCCTATTTGTTTTTAGAATACAACATTCCTAGGTCAGTGGCCTTTTTTCTTTGTTTTAAATAAAACCAGAATGGAAAAGAATGACATTTCTGGAAACAATGCATGGATTTCTGTATTTATGGGAAGGCACCATTAAGATTTTTCAATGCAATGATTATATATTGTTACTGACATTATTTTAAATTTCTGTTTGGAAATTTTAGGTGGCAGTAGTTTGGCTTATCAGATACTACTGAGCTTTTTCTCTAGCTCTTCAGCAGCCTGCTATGGAAAGTACATTTGAAAGCTGAAGGGGATTAAATTACGTTTTTATGACAATGGAAAAGGAGAAATAATTTTTAAATGGAGCATAAAGGACTTGTTAACTATTCATAAACCTTCCATGCATTACAGATGGTTAAACAGTGATCAGCCTTTCATAATTATTAAATGGACATTTTTTAAAAAGAACATTGCATTGGCTGTATTGAGTACTTGCCTGCTGAACTAAAGGGCAAGAGTATGTGAGATGTCCATACCTGGGTAAAGGAAGAGAATTTTAATTTTTTTAGTGCTTTCAGAGAATTTTTGGTAGATATTCTTCTTAGCTTTAGTTTATAATGTCACTCGTAGTGTTTTTGTTTGTTTGTCTTTGTTGTGTTTTTTTTCGGAGTGGTTATGACTTGAGAGTGCCAAAACCTAAATTTAAATAAAGGAAGTATTAGGCAGCATGGGAACAGATGTATGTTTTAAATGTTGATTTTTTTTTCCTAGAGAAAATTACACAGTCTGTCTTTATTATAACTAAAAATATTTACTGTTTAAAAAAAATAAAAATAGAAACATTTATTTTTCAACTTTTTTCTTTTTTTAAACTCAAGTAAGCTGTTGCCCAGGCTGGAGTGTAGTGGCATGATTTGGCTCACTGCAACCTCTGCCTCCCAAGTTCCAAGCTATTCTGCTGTTTCAGCCACCCTAGTAGCTGGGATTATAGACACCCGCCACCATGCCCAGCTGATTTATGTATTTTTGATAGATACGGGGTTTCATCCTGTTGGCCAGGCTGATCTCGAACTCCTTGTCTCAAGTGATCCGCCTGCCTTGGCTTCCTAAAGTGCTGGGATTAGAGGCATGGGCCACTGCGCCCAGCCTATTCTCAACTTTTATTAATCCACTTAAAATGGGTTACTTTGAAACTATTATCATATGCTAAGTAACTTAACATTCAGCTCCCTAAATGAAATTCTGATTTTTATTAAGGTTTTTAGTATTTGTTGTTTTAACTGATTTTTTAAAAATTTCTCTGAATTTCTAGATATACACCTGAAGAAATTGAGAAGCTCAAGGAGTAAGTTTTAAAGTTTTTCATTAATTCTGATTGTTGTGTCTTACGTCCTTAAAAGTTTTACTTTGAAAATTTTAAGAGGTTTTTGGCAGACTGGTATAATTTAATTCTGCTTTTAAGCATGATTGACCTTAAAAAGATCACATCAAATCCATACTTGCACAAAATAACCATTCTCATCATGTGTAAATCTAGTCTCCTGTTGCCATTCACCAGATGCTTCCTCAGACCACTAATAGGGGTTCCAGAAGAGATTAAGGGGCCATTTTTGGTTGCCTGAAAACTAAATTTGGGGAATTTATATACCAGGATCAAAACCAGCATTGTGCTACATGGCTTACTTTAGAATGGTGACTTGGCAAATGTTTCAGTGAATATCTGGGCTGACTCAACCTTGCAAAGTCTATTGAATCTCAGGACATATAATTTTGCTTCATTGAGTTAGGCCGTAAAGTATGGTTTAATGAATTATATGGATCATGAACAAAATTGAAGATAGATTCTGTTTATAATGATAAAGACCTGTGAAACTTTTTTAGATGTCTAAAGAATTTGTTGGGTATATGCTCAAAAGGGAAAGTCTGGGGCTTGCCTAGGAGATTGTGTCAGTAACCTGAGGGGAAATTGGTCTTTTTTGAACACATATCCAAGTTACTTATTTCTTCTCTGACCCAGGAAAAAGGCAATTGCTGCCTGTTTTTTTTTCACCCACAGACAACTGTGGACCCCAAAAAAAGGCCACACTTTCAAACTTTGGCTCTCAAAGTATTGCTGCCCACAACTTCCAAACCAGTCAAATGGGAAGAAGAAGAATGAAGAATAAATGATGAAATTAAAAGGGAGAAAACAATTGAACCAAATGCTGATTGGCAGACTCTTGTTTTAGGCTCCGGATAAAGCATGGCAATGACTGGGCAACAATAGGGGCGGCGCTAGGAAGAAGTGCATCTTCTGTCAAAGATCGGTGCCGACTGATGAAGGATACTTGCAACACAGGTACTGTGACTGCTACTGGTAGTGTTTTCTTGTCACCACTTAAGCCTCCTGCCCCTTAGGATACTGCCTTTCTTTTGTTCCTGGGGAGCAATTTAGATCATTCACCTTAGTTCAGACTTCTTCTAGTCTTCCTTTTACTTGAGCTTACTAGATATATCAAACCTTCGTTTACTTTGTTTTTGTATAACCTAACATTGTCTTCAGGGACACAACATCACCTTAGTGTCAAGATGATTCAGATCTAACATGTTTCAGTTTTGTAGCTATTTCAGTACTTTCCCAGGTGAGAAAGTATTTTGAAGACAAATATGCAGCAAGTAATTTTAATTTAGGTCCATCTAACTGTTGAATTTACATTAGCAACAGCTAATCAGTGAGTGTTTATGAAAAACTTTAGTCACAGGTAAATCCCAAATTAGGAAGAAGCTGTGTTCCAAAGATTTGTACGTATTTTGCTTATTTTAAACTCAAAGTATGTTTTTCCAGAGAAAAAATTTATGATTAGTGTTTCAGTCCCCAGGCAAGACTACAAATGCCTCTTAATGCACACAAATGGCCTCAGGATAGTGTTAAACTTAATCTTTGCAACCAACAAAAGTATTTAGGCTCTGCCATTAACTGTCATTTAACCTTTCTGAGCCTCGATTCCCTCTGTAAAACAAAGAGATTAGATGATCTTGTAGTGCCCTTTTAGCTATAATGTTCTCTGAAAGATCCACAATCTATGCCCAGTTTTTCAATTAAAAAGTTCTCAAGGTTAGCTTTAGTTTCTATGGCATACTTTTTTTGTCCTTAACCCCCTGCTCTACTAAAATGAAATCAGAACTGTTTCCTGCCTAACTACTACACTATCACTGTTACCTGCAAGGCAGTGAGAACATAAATACCACCAACTTTGTCATCCTGTGACATGGCTAGTTTAATGAATGAAGCAGGGCTGTACGCTTTAGATTTAGGATAGGATATCAGAGTTTATGTAAGATGCTGTGAGTACAGAACCTCTTGGTAACATAATTGGAAGGACACAGTGCCATTCCCTGATTGCCAGCCTCAGGGATTGATTGATCTGCCTGCTTCCTTCTCATGTTGTGACATCTTCCCATGAGGCCACATCATGAAACAGGACAGTCTCAAAGTATTCCCATCCTTTCACATCATGCTAGAATAGGAGAGTAGGACTTTGTCTTGAATCCATCCACAGTATTCAGAACTGTGCTTAGCATATAATGAAAATTCAATAAGCATTTGCTAGATGAATGGATTCCCGAAGCAAGAACACAGTCTTTTTGGAATTTTATAGAGGTTTTTAGCTAGTAATAACAAAATGGAAACAGAGGTAAAGATGATTTAAAAAAAAAAAATTCTTTTTTCTGTTCTTCTGCTCTAGCTCCATAAGAAAAAGACCAAGAAGAACATTTGAGATTATCTATTAGAGGGTTTATGGGTTGAGGAAACAAAGGAATAAAAATATGTATAAATACTTATATCAGACTTTACTAATATTTCATCACAGTAGCTGGAGTTGGGATAGTGGGAAATGAAGATGGTAGAAACCGAGTTTTTACTAAAATAGGTTGGGCCCATTAGTGTTATTTCCTTGTCCCTCATCATTCATCCCTATAAGTAATGGCCTTTTGAACTTGGTCCACTTTTGCAGAGCAGGGAATCTTAGGTGAGAGTAAGAAAAACAGCATGCCATTTCTTGTTTATTCGCCACTAATGAAGCTCTTCCCTTTTCACTATTTCTAGATAAAGAACTTAGTGTAACTTCAGAATACATTCTTCTTTGTAGTTTCATAATTGGTCAGTACTTTCCATTGGGATTATTTTCTTTCCTACTGAGACCCTTACTGGGCTAGTAAAACGAAACTGTTTTAGTGGAAATATTTGGTTTCCCACGAGAGGGTCATTCAGAAACAAACGCTTGGCACTGCTGCATACTTCCCATCAGTCCTTGTAAATACAAGAGCTGAATCAGATTTGTAAAAGAAGTTAGCAGTGGTAGTCTGGATAATTTCCTTCTTTCAGGGAAGTGGACAGAAGAAGAAGAAAAGAGACTCGCAGAAGTGGTTCATGAATTAACAAGCACTGAGCCAGGTGACATAGTCACACAGGGTGTGTCTTGGGCAGCTGTGGCTGAACGAGTGGGTACCCGCTCAGAAAAGCAGTGTCGTTCTAAATGGCTCAATTACCTGAATTGGAAACAGAGTGGGGGTACTGAATGGACCAAGGAAGATGAAATCAATCTCATCCTCAGGTTTGTGTCCTGAATCTTATAATGACAAAAGCCACCTAATTGCTGTGGATGTTTTGATAGACTTTCCCCTTTTGGTTTCCCTAGATGCCTAGAGTCTAAAAACTATCCTTAGCATAGAGCACTGTTTAAGATCCTAAGTATTTCATATTGAGCTCTTTTTATGTTTTGTTTTGTGTTTGTTCCTTTTTTAGTGGATTTAGTGCTCGTGCAAAGTACCAGATTGAAGGCGTGGAGACTGAAGTCCTCTCTATATCCACAGAACAGGTATGGCACAGGCAGCGGCAGTGCAGCTTTTCCACTGTCCCACCAATGTGCCTCAGTACTAGCCCAGGGGGACCACGTTTAGGATAAGAGGGCTGTTCAGTCTCCATGCCCTTCAATCCCTGGCTACTATGCTAAGATTGCCAAGAAGGGGGGCCTAGTCTGTAGTTACCTCCACACCTTCAAAGTCGACCAAGTCAAACACATCCATTTCATATAAATTCAAAAATAGCTTTAAGATATCATAATCCCAGCTTATTTTTTAAAGTAGTTGGTTTAACCATTAAGACTCATTAACTAAAATGGGCAAAAATACTAGCAAGAAATTATTTAAGACCCTGAGGTAATAGAGACTGTCACCGTGGCTACTCCCTACTGAAAATCAAATCATCACGACAAAGCCAGAAAACAGATTTTTTTAAACCTCAAATTTCGTTGTACTATTGTTATTTTTCAATTGCACCTACTGTTTTTGTGTCATCTTGTTTTGTATTTTGTATTTAATATAGTTTTTTTCCCAACTCGTCATCTTTTTTAAATAGCTCATTTCTAAATATTTTTGTTTAACAATAGGAACACTCAGATGCAGGAAATAAATGACTTAATTAAATGCCATACTATGAAACATTGCAGGAACACTATACAACTAAATCTGTTCTTATTAACCTTTAACATACTCCATTTCCTTCACAGTGCCTCGTCTGGTTCTAACCATTTACGGTTTAGCCTATTGGTTGTACCTTTAACAAAAGGATGTTGCTGCTGGTATTTCTTAGATGTTAGCTCTGAAAGCAGATCTGCACTCCTGGAACTTAACAATAGCATCTCATTGGCATAACCTGGCGTTCCCTTTACTTGCCAGTGCCATCACCTGTAGTCAGAGGAGGGGTTCTCACAGAAAAATTAACGTATAACAGATGCTTATTTTGTAACCTGTAGGATAGCAGAACTTGATGTAGCTGATGAAAATGACATTAACTGGGATCTGTTAGCTGAAGGATGGAGTAGTGTCCGTTCACCACAATGGCTACGAAGTAAATGGTGGACTATCAAAAGGCAAATTGCAAACCATAAGGATGTTTCGTTCCCTGGTAATGTATTACTTGCTTTTTAAGCTCCTCCCTTTTCTTACTATATTTACTCTTTAGTAGTGAGAGGTTAGAAGTTCTTTGCCTCAGCTGAAGAGATATCATAGCAGATTTCTACTTATACTTCTGCCCTGTTTCTCTAATTGTTTTCTTCCCCAGAGAAGAATTAATGTGGTTTGTAATTCCTAAAGCTCCTAAAATGAAAATGTACACACTTACACTCCTCCTTGTTCTTCTCTGTCAACTATGAGGAGGAAGTAAAATCTGCATATACAGTCACGCCACATAACGGTTTAATTTTTATGTGTTTAAAGACAGGGTCTAGCTATGTTGTCCAGGCTGACATGCAGTGATGTGATCATAGCTCATTGTAACCTTAAACCCGTGGACTCAAGTGATCTTCCCACCTCAGTCTCCTGAATAGTTACGACTACAGGCACACACCACCATGCCCAGCTAATTTTTTTTTTTTTTTTGGTAGAGATGAGGTTGTGCTGTTACCCAGGCTGGTCTCCAACTCCTGGGTTCAAGTGATCCTCCCAGCTCAGCCTCTTAATGTGCTGGGATTACTTATATGAGCCATCATAGCTGACCACTTACAACCTTTCAGTCAACAACAGATGTCATAGTATTGGTCTCACAAGATTAAAATACTGTATTTTTACCCTATTTTTTTCTATGTTTAGATACACAAATATTTGCCATTGTATTAGTTGCCTGCAGTATTTGGTTTGTAGCCTAGAAGCAACAGACTATATCCTCTAGCCTAGGTGTGTTGTCGGCTTGTACCATCTAGAATTGTGTAACTATACTCTGATGATCCCATGACAAAATCACCTAACGACTCGCATTTCTCAGAACGTATCCCCATCCTTGAGTGATTGATGACTATTTTTATTTTGTACAAAGATATACTTCGGAAAACCTAAGTTTAAGTCAACTTTTATGAGTAGTATAATTTCAAATATCTTAACTGGGTGTGTTATTTAGAGAAATTGTGTGGCAATGTTGTAGAACAAAGGCTGATTTTCTATATTTATTATATAAATGTAGAGATCTTAAATTGGGTTGGCTTAAAGTGAAGCATAGCATACTTTTTGTTGCCTGTTTTGCATTTAGGTACTGAGTTGTATAGTGTCTTTAAGTTATTAAATGTATTCCCCTTGTTATAACACTCTTTCATTGTTCCAAAGGAAACTGAACACTGAGGAACTTTGGCTTGATGAAAATGTGATTTTTTAAAATTAAATACCAAGTTACAGGCCAGTATAGTGGCTCATACCTGTAATCCCAGTACTTTGGGAGGCTGAGGCAGGAGGATCATTTGAGGCTAGGAATTTGAGACCAGCCTTGGCATCATAGCAAGACCCTGTTACTACAAAAAAATACAAACCAATTACAGGCATGGTGGCACATGCTTATAGTCCCAGCTACTTGGGAGCAAGAGCCTGAGGCAGAAGGATGGCTTAAGTCCAGAGGTTCGAGACTGCAGTGAGCTATGAACATGCCACTGTACTCCAGCCTAAGCAAGAGAGCAAGACCTTGTCTCAAAAAAAAACAAAAATAAATCCAGTTGTAGAGGATAGGCATATATTATGAATAGAGCAAAGTCTAGAATTGGCCTCCGTGTGCAAGAACAACATATTACTGTTTGGAAAAGATCAGTTGCTACCTCTAGACGCACAGTCAAGGGCCCTTGAGCCCTGGGAGGAAAAACGTACTACACCATTCATTTAAAAAATAAAAATATGCTCTTTAACATTGCCAGTGTTCTTCCCAGATAATAATTCTATCAAGACACCCTAGGAATAAAAAATGTCCTGTTTCCATGTTCTTTGCAATATCTACCTTTTTAAAAACATTATTAATCTTAGATGGCAAAAATAACAATATTAAAATTGGTTATGATGGATAATGTTCATAAGAATCTCAGGATATGTTGTTTTTTAAAGTATCTTATTTTTATAAGCTCTCACATTCAGTATGCAATTATTTATTCCAAATACTTTCCCTCCTTACCTCCCCCCACCTCCCATGCTGCTTAGATGGTGGTCTGTCGGAGAATCAATGTTCTTTTTGTCTACCCATCTCCCTTCAGTCTTAATAAAAGGTCTTAAACAGTTACATGAGAACCAAAAAAACAACCCAACGCTTTTGGAGAATAAATCAGGATCTGGAGTTCCAAACAGTAATACCAATTCCAGTGTGCAGCATGTTCAGATAAGAGTAGCCCGCTTGGAAGATAATACAGCCATCTCTGCCAGTCCCATGGCAGCATTGCAGATTCCAGTCCAGATCACCCATGTCTGTAAGTGTTTGATCGTCAAGATGCCTTGCTATTTGACCTATATGATTTGGTTAATGTCTCTGCTATCTTTTGGTCTTCTAGAATGTTAATAGAAATTTATCCAAGTCGATGAACTGAAGGATATCTTAGATATTTTATGTTTAATTCAGTTAATATTTGTACAAAGAATGTATGGCAGGAAGGATATATAACCAGTTTCCCAACCATTATAAACCATTTAAAACCATCTTAACTTCTAGATTTTTAAATTAATGAATAGAAATTATTAAAAATAGAAATTAAAATGATAGAAAACTACCTAAAAAGCAGTCAATCAAGCAAAGAAATAGAATTCACCAAGGGATATGTCATATGTAGTAATTTTACCAGAAGACATATAAATTGGGGATGGATTTGAGGCTGAATGGTAAAGAAATGAGTTTTAGCAAGGTTGAAAACGATATCTTCAGGGAATAAAGGGCCAGTTTCTTATGGGAAACTGTTTTTTGACCCCTTTGTTGTCCTTAGTGTCTGTCAGTTTTGTACTTAATGAGATTATGGGACCCTGGCAATTGTTAAGAGTGAGGAGAAAATTTTTTTTCTTCAGAACTAAGTCAAATTGATCTTTATCCATTCCCATCAGTCTTGAATTATAGTGACAATAAAAGGAATGAGGGTGAAATTCTCAGAACCATATTCTTCACTCACTTTTTTTTTTTTTTGTCTACTTGATGCTATGTGCATTTGAAAAGATACCCAAGAGTACACCAGTCGTTGCAGGCGATTATTGATGTTTTGAGTGACAGGTTTTTGTAAGACTGTCCTTCACATTGCAGGATGTTCAGTGTCTTTCGATCTTGTCCACAAAATGTTAGTAGTGCTTACAAGTTATTACGAGAAACTGAAACACTTTATATATTTCCAGATATACCATTATGATTACCTAGTTGATTGAGAATCACAGAACCACATGTTGGTGTTTAACACTGTAGATCTATGTGCATTGATTGTCAAAGTTATCTTATAGACATTTAAACTAATCGTACCTCCTATAATCGTACCTCTTAAAGTCCTGATTTGAATTTGGTTATCATTCTACCAGTGTAATCAAGCATGAAGGATTTCTTTTGTTTTTGTTCCAGTCTGAGGATTGTAAAGCAACTGAAATTACTAGTCCAAGTGAATATGAGAGCTACTATGGGTTGTAAATTGATTGGGCATGTTCGTATTCCTTGGCTATTGAGTTGACAATACCCATTGGGAAGACAAACATTTTATAAATGATACCTTAATATTGATAGCATCATTTTAAAATAGTATTTAGAATTTTACCTCTTCCAGCAAGAAAACTGAATATGGTAAGAGTTCTACAATCCACCTATTACTTGTAGCATTCTAACCAAAATCTCATTTCATTTTTTAGGTTAGGGGACAGAGATCAGCAAATTTCTTTATGTAATGAGCCAGACAGTAAATATGAGTATTTTAGGCTTTGCAGGCCACATAGGTATTCTGAGGGACAGTCTTTTAAACAACCCTGTGGAAATGTAAAAACCATTATTGGCCTTGAGCCACATTTGTCCCTGACAGTAGTTTCCTAACCTTGATTTAGTCTGTCTGGAATCACATCTCATTATAGCTGTGATCCTAAGGATCCATCAAACAGTAAGATGAATAATACAGATCAAGTGCATTTCTATTCATAAGGGGATTAGATTCCTTTTAAATAGCTGAGAAGTGTTGTACAGAATTTAATAAACTATAATAAACACTACACATTAAAAGTCAATTCCAAATCATATTCCACATATAGGTATGACTGCACGCACCAAGAAAGATGACCTTTTTAAGTTCTATTTAATCTTGAGCAGATGTTGATCAAATCTGATCCTCAGTTGACACACATGTAAAGAGATCATACTCTCTGATCTTTATTCAGTCTCCCAAATGTAGTCTTATGAAATAATGCTGTCTTAACATTTGTTTTCAAAAGGACTTTTGATCCTCATAGCTGTATGAGGTGGGTGGGACAGGCAAAAATATCTGAACATTAAAGTTATTTACCCAGGTTTATGTTGCAGAAAGTGATTAAAGCCTAGCATTTTTGGACCCCTAGTCTAGACATCCATACTGCTTATGCAGGTGTACAAGAAAACTAGTTTTTACCAAGTTTCTTTCATTTTGCAGGTTGGCCTTAGTGTGTTCCTCTTACTGCCTACCATTAGAAACACTTAATGATGTGTATATACCAAGGGTTAGCAAAACTTTTCTACAAAGGAAAAGATATACTAATACTTTAGGCTTTGTGGGCCTTCTGGTGTCTGTGACAGGTACTCAACTCTGTTACAGTGCTAAAGTAACCACAAAAAATATATAAAGCAATAGGTGTGATTGTATTCCAATAATGCTTTATTTACAAAAACTGGCAATAGGCTGGATTTGTGGGCCATAGTTAGGCCACCTTTGCACTATATGCCACCCCAGACAAATTCATTAGATTCCTTATCTCTCATAAGAAATATAAATGACTTCAGGTCTCCAGGCAAATTGTTCACTATTAAATTGCCTTCATGATAATGGAGTACACTGGAGAAATTTAAATTTACAAAACATTTATTGTTGTCCTTGTTCTTAACACAGCTTCAACAGACTCTCCTGCTGCTACTGTTGACTCAGAAACAATAACACTAAACAGTGGAACACTACAGACATTTGAGATTCTTCCAGTGAGTAATACTTCATATATATTGGCCATTTTTATGCATAATATCAGTTGGTATCACTTTTATAAATCATATCAATAAATATAAAAATCTGAGACCAAATGAATGGTAAAGCAGACTTCCACTTTTATCAGCTTTTCTCTCATCTGTATATAAACCAAAATGTTATTTGTATATGAAAATGACAATGCTAATGAGTATACACATTCTATGGACTTGTATTGAGTTATAATTAATAACCAAAGAGTTCATATTGGTTATGTGAGAAGAAGTTTGTGGACAAACTAATCATGAGCTCTTTAATGACATTCAGTAAACACTGTACTAGCTACTGGGGATACAAAATTTAAAAGTCCCAGTGCTAAGTGGTTTAGTTGCTTTGGAAATGTCTTGTAGCTCCTGAAGAGGCTAAGTACAGTTACCAAAGGATTCATCTATTTCTAATCCCAGGTACACCTAAGAGAAATGAAAATATCTGTCCAATAAAAACTTGTACATGAATGTTCATGGCATTAAATAACCAAAATGTCTAGCGACAGAAAAATTGATAAAATGTGCTATTGTCATGCAAATATTACTCAGGAATGAAAAGGGATGAAATATACTGAAACACGGTACAACAGGGTACAACAGGGATGAACCTTAAAAAATAGGCTAAATGAACAAAACCGGATAACACAAAATGTCACATAGTACTTGGCTCCCATTTATTTGAAATGTCCAAAATAAGCAAATCTGTAGATCAGAAAGTGGTTTCCTGCAACAGAAAGTATAGGATAAAAGTGGAACATGACTGAATGCCCTGCTTTCCAGAACTATTAAACCTATATTCATATTTCATTAAGAAAATCTAAATTTTACTGAAATTAAATCAAGATTTACAGGGGTAATAGTACAAGAGTTTATTCTTCCTCTTCCAGAGTATGGCCACCTCTGAAACTTTCACTGGCAGCTTACTTAACCTAAGTCAGTTTCCTGAGCTAGTGGTCTGTGAAATGGGGATGTATAAGACAACCATTTGACACAAGTAGAAAACTTCATTTTTTTTTTTTAAAGCCTACTCCCCTGGTAAACTATACACACACATCCTACATGTTTGAGTTGAGATATGTGTTCAGGTTTTTACTTATGGGGTCCTTAATTTATTAATGGGTAATAATAGTACTCCAGCTTCAAAAATTTGTGAAAATTAAATGTATTCAAGTATATTAAATAAAATATATATATAAATATATGTCCATATAAAGTATTTATAATAATGCCTCACCCTATGTGATTAATATATGCTACCTTTAGGAAAATGACTAGCTTTCACTTTTATAGAAAAAGAAAAGAAATTGAGTCCTCACAGAGTACCAGGCACTTTCATAATCATTTCTAATCCTAGACTATGAGAAATAGTTACTGTCTCCACTTTAGCAATAAGGAAACCTATATTTGGGGATTTGGTACCCCGAAGAGTTGTTTTAGCTAAGTCCACAAGACTACATTGGTAAACAAAACAGGCTACATGATTTTAACCCCCAGACATATTTTAAATGCAAATACTTTAGAATATCAAGATAAACCTCTTTTTTTATACAGAAGCTTAAAAACTGAAAGGTTAAAGATTATTGGTCAATAATTTTATTATGCCTCCTTTAAAATTTTCAAAAGAAAATGTATTTAATAGTTGAAGATCTTTTTCCTTCAGCCGAACATTGCTAATTACTATTTGTCCCTTTCTGTAAAAGATATTCTTAAAATTACACTGAAAAAAAAAATTTTTTTTTTTTTTTTTTTTTTTTTAAACTGAGGGACTGCCAGTTTTTATGAGCCACAAAGAAAGGAAAAAGAGGGGTGATGGGTTGTTGTGAGTTACTGCACTGGAAACAGTGGCTCATACAACTGTCTTGGTACCCTGAAACGAATAGCTGAGTCTAGACCAGAGACATACACTGGAGCAAAGAGTAGCCTCTTAAACCTCCAGGCTAGGTAATGACTTCAGACAATCATGCCCTACATTGTATTACTTGTTTGTACCTTCATAATGGGTAAGTACATCTGTGTTTAGTAAACTAAACTCAGTCCCTGTTTTTGGATATAAAAGTAGACTTAATCATTGTTAAGCTATCTTATTTTTCTTTTTCCTTTAGTCTTTTCATCTACAGCCCACCGGCACTCCAGGCACCTACCTACTTCAAACAAACTCAAGCCAAGGCCTTCCCCTAACTCTGACCGCTAGTCCCACAGTAACCCTGACAGCTGCTGCTCCTGCTTCTCCCGAACAGATCATTGTTCATGCTTTATCCGTATGTTACATAAATTACTTGATTTTTCAGTACCTGTTATGGACCAGGATTAGTTGATAAGGACCAAAATATAAGGTAGTTTTCTAAACAATTCTTCCTACTGCTGTTGTTCCAGGCACTGTGTATTACACCATCACTCTGGCCTTCACCGGGGTGTATCTCTCATCCCTTCTCTCTTTATTCAAGATGGATATACATTAGAATAGGGACATTAGGAGAACAAAGGCCCTAGCAAGTAGAGTACAAGGGTTTTAGAAAAATAGTGATAGAAGTATTACAGTTCCAGAGGTAAGAGGTGTGGGAGGAGACAGTGGGGTATCCCCATAAATGTCACTTGATTAACAGGTTCTTTAATGTTTTATAGCCAGAACATTTGTTGAACACAAGTGATAATGTTACAGTGCAGTGTCACACACCAAGAGTCATCATTCAAACTGTTGCCACAGAGGACATCACTTCTTCCATATCCCAAGCAGAACTGACGGTAGATAGTGATATTCAGTCATCTGATTTTCCTGAGCCTCCAGATGCCCTAGAAGCAGACACTTTCCCAGATGAAATTCATCACCCTAAGATGACTGTGGAGCCATCATTTAATGATGCTCATGTATCCAAATTCAGTGACCAAAATAGCACAGAACTGATGAATAGTGTTATGGTCAGAACAGAAGAAATCTCTGATACCGACCTTAAACAAGAGGAGGAATCACCCTCTGATTTAGCCAGCACTTATGTTACTGAGGTAAGTAAGTTGTACTTAAAGAATAACTGAATGGGTTCTTGCCTTGAGCCTCAAAAACCTGTAGTTTGGGAAAAGCTTCCTTCCTTTTATCTTTAGACTCACTAAATTAAGTTCAAACCCCTACCTCAGACCTCACAAACAGTGTTGCTGGCAGAAATGAGCAGGCAGAGATCCTGTGGAAGTCAGGAAGAATAAGAAAATCACGTTCTTTCTTACCACACCTGCTCACCAAAACTTTTCCCTCTTTACCTGCAATACATTGAGAAATGTTGTTAGAACCCATAGAAGCATTTTCCTGAGTGGTTAGTAATCGATCTATGTGGTTCAGCCTAGGAACATCATCCTACACTAACAGTGTTGTTTCTTCTGTTACATTCAGCCGACCTATAACTGAATCAGTCCTTTTAAGTTCTTTTTTGTTAAAGATATATTAAGTCGTGAGGTCATCTTTTGTCCCTGTAAGACTTTTTTATTTCTTTATGTTCTAATTTTCAAATGGGTTATGTTTAAGTCTGTCTAACCTATACATGCCTGGGATTTTAAGGAAGACTAGTAAGGAATACGAGTCAATCTCTCTTTTTTTTTAAATGTTATTTAGGGTTTAGAGTCTCCCACTATAGAAGAGCAAGTTGATCAAACAATTGATGATGAAACAATACTTATCGTTCCTTCACCACATGGCTTTATCCAGGCATCTGATGTTATAGATACTGAATCTGTCTTGCCTTTGACAACACTAACAGGTACTGTAATATAATACTTACTATGTGCCTGATAAATTTTAGGTGGAAAAATCAGACAGACATTTAATTCAGTTGTCTTTCTTGATCCAGTAAGAAAGATACTAGTCTTGTTAAAGTTCTACACTGTGGTAGAATACCTTAAATTCTTAACATGGATTAGAGAATAAATATATACATTTAAGACTAACTTGAAACTCATTACAGATCCCATACTCCAACATCATCAGGAAGAATCAAATATCATTGGCTCATCATTGGGCAGTCCTGTTTCCGAAGATTCAAAGGATGTCGAAGATTTGGTAAACTGTCATTAGAATAATTCCTAAAAATAAGCAGTTCAAGCAAGCCACACTGTTAATTACATCTTCAAAGAAATAGGAGCAACCCCCAAGAGACTTAATTTACCAATTTAAATAGCTACAGTGCTTAAGCCACACACATTGTTGCTGCTATGACTTTTTACCTCCTTTAAACACATCATCTGATGTTGAGTTTTATGACAGTGTGTAGTTGAGTGGAGGCTGGTGGTTTTAAGCGTAAATCCCTATGTTTAGTATTTACATGGCAGTAGGGAATTTCATTCACTTCAGCCACTGAGAAAAGTTTAAAATCACAAAAGCTTAACTGCTGTGGTTTTAAAAAGTACAGTTTCACTAAAGATCAGACATGACTCTCTCTCTCAAGTAAGCCTGGTTCTAGTTCATTTCAACATGGTCTAGAGCTTACCCATGATCTTCTGTTCTTCAAGAAGACTAAGTTTGAGACTTGACCAGTATACTTACGAGGTGGTCACATTTGATTAACCCATTGTTGGCAGTGGGGGCTGATTTAGGCAGGGTAAAGAGGAAAGCATTAAAAAGAGTTAAAATTCACTACAGGGCTTTTTGTTACTTTTAAAGGGAATATGATAAGCATTGTAACAAAACCCACCAGAAGCTAAGCAGTTTTCACCCCCTCAGAAACCACTGTCATTAGTTTACAAAGTTAACACTTTTAAGTAAAACTAAATGGGGAAGGAAGTAATGTTGTCTATCCTGATACCATGACCATTTATTACATTTTGCTATATAAATTACCCAGAAAATAGTTTGTCATTCATTTAGTGTGTTAGCTGGCGGGGTACAATATAAATTCTCATCTCAGGCAGTTTGAAAAAACAAAACAATATTTGCTTCTATAACAAAAGTAAACAAATCTAAGTCATTCCTATACTGCAGAAGGGTTAAAGGCAAAGATAGCCTCTTGGGTTTTTAATGAATATGACCCCTATAGAAAAGTCAAGAAAAAAAAAAAACTTGTATAAATTATTTTATTTATTATTGTAATTAGATCTTCACAAAGTTGTCTTTTGACTGTCTGTTTTGTTAACGTGAAATTAAATTGTAGTTATAAAGCAAAAGTTGGTTGCCTAGGGAACAATTGTATATTCAGTTTAACAAAATAAAAGAATATTTGTCTTAAAACACAAGATTTTGTATGTTACAAAGCCTTTTGCCATGCAGTCACATTATAAAAATGTTCATTTCTAAAGTGAAAATTTCTTGTGCTGTTTGAGCTTTAAGGGTTGGAATGTTTAGGTGCAACGTCAGCTCTTTAAAAAGCACAGTGATCTAAGATATGTCTCCCTTGCAAGAGGGAATTTTACATTTACAATTAACATGAAAATCATGTATCAGACTTCTGCGGGAGATTCTTCAGCATACCTTATCCAAAAATTACTCACTATCCTAATGTATCATTTTGAAGAGTCCTGGTAAGTACTTCTCCTTGGCAGCCTCACCTTCCCACATCATGGAAGTACAGGTTTGCACATATACACAACATGATGATAGAAAATATGATATAGTAAATTAGCTTTCTAAACTTCGGTTCTAAGTCTCCTTGTCGATACCAGTAGATCTAAAAGAAGAAGAATTAAAGTTTATTAGCAATTAAAATTTAAAATGTAACATTTTCTCTACCAATTTCAAATTTCATTAGTGTTTGTTTATTCTCCTAAATGAGACATTCTCCACATTCTGAGGTCTACATTCCTCAGACCAATGCAGCCAGAATTTCATTCTTACTCTGAGTTTTTAACATCCAAGATCATACTTATTCCTACTTTCTCAGTTTACTTTCCTGTTTTCAAACCTGTATTGGTCCACCAGTCATTTGGCAAGCTATTCAAGAACATATACCTGGACATATTAGTTAACAGTAAAGGAAGACGACATTTAGATTCATATGATTCATACAGTTGATTCAGACTGCTATACAAAATAGGGCTTCCATAATGTATATATTTGGATTAAACTAGTTCATTGTTAGTCACTTTAGGCTTGAAGTTAATGGGGTGGACCAGTTCTTCTTTCAGGTCATGGGAGTCAACAGCAGGATCAGTGAAGTAGAACACTTGGAGATGTCTCCTGGTTTACTTTTAAATCAGATAAGCAAATTACTATTATGATTTAAGAGATCAAAACAATTGTTTTTAAGGGTTTTCTCTTTGATTCTGCCTCTCAAGGGACATAAAACAACAGCCAACTAATGAATGATTGAACACTGAGGTGCCACCACCATCCTTGTTTCTTTACCAGAAAAGAAACATTTGAAGTAAATCAAATATCACAACAATACAACTGCAGCTTTAGATTTCCCAGGAGGTTTTAGTGTTAATACTTCCACTGTGGAGGACAAACATGTAGATTAAGACTAATTTTGTAATCATTAGAATTAAATCCAGAGAGCTCTATCTCTTCCCTTAGCAGTAACTAGCATTTCCCAAAGACTGTTGGCCCCTATACAGTCCTTAAGTAAAGATGAATTAAATCTTTGGTCACCTAAATTAGTCTTTCTGCTTTATTTTTTTTCCTTTAGCTATCATGAGAATAGAGTTTCTCTTTGGGGTTACAACTTTGGGATTCAGGAGAAAAGTAGAAACTCATTTTATTGAGAATTCTAACATACTTTTAGGGGGAGAATAGGATATAATTAGAGACCCTTTTGTATAGACCCAAAGTGCTGAAAATTTCTGTCTCAAGCATTGCAACATTAAACCCTCAAGAACATTCTGTTTAAATTCTCAACGATACTTACAAGTATGCAGGCAGTAATGCTACTCAAAGAGATGCAGACAGCAAAAAATATATTCAGCGGTTTCGGAGGTAGTTGAGGGAAAACAAAAGCACTGATCAGCGTTACCTGTGTGAAGAAAAATTATGTAAGGCCTTAATAGTTATTCAAAGACCTGGTAATTACTGACTGGAGTCTAGGCAACACAATACTACAAAATACTTTACGTTGTAAAATTTCATCTGCCACCAATTTGCTTTCTAGAATGGTAGTATAGTAATAAGTATAAATATGTTTGAGTTACCTTAGTACGTCCTCCTTTTCTAACCTTTTCCTTATGAAAGGAGAGAAAACATTAGTTAAGCTAGCTGATCCCAAAATAACCTCATTAACTAAACCTCACTCCCAGGATTAATGATTCTATTGGAAAAAGTTCTAGCCATTTTGTTATTTTAAATATTCCTACCAAAAATGAATATAATCAAAGCTGGTTTTGCTACAACATTATGAAACATACGGAAAGACTTCTAATATCATGTGGTTCTGTTTCTATCACAGATGCCACATTACAGGCAATCTTTTCATTAAGTAGCCATGGAAAAAACAAATTCTCTTAAATTTAATGAAAATGTGCCAGAAAAATGTCAAATTATGGAAAATACAGCTTTGAAGAATTTCATTGTGATAGCTCCAGCTGTATTTTACAGGATGTATACGGTAAAATTACTATATACTGTGACCAAGTCTTTTTAAACTTGACCAAAGGGTAATGGATGTTATGTTCTTTAGGAACAAAATAAAGCATTAACAGAAATGGGGAATTACGGTAGATTATGACAGAAGAAAGTGCCTACTAGCCACTGATATTTTTACAAATTTACTAGGCAAAACATAGTAAACTCAATTATCTGAAAACGAAGTTATCTGACTTGCGGTATTTCACATATTCAACCAGTGGGGAGAGGGTGTGAAAATTAAACTGGCTACTCCAGTTCACGGTTGCAATTTTGTGACAATAAAATTAAACGCACTTATTTAACTATGACTGGAACACTTATGCTCATGCCCTAGCCCCTTTTAAGTATTTTTTTGTGGGGGGAAGTTAACCATAATTAATACTCGAGTTTTTAATACTTTGGCTAAGAGCCTGGGTGAGGCACAAAACAAAGATACTTACTAGAATCAGTAAGGATGTTAAACTGCCAACAACTAAATTGATTATTCGATCCTGAAAGAGAAAAGAGTTTTTAAGCCATATGTGCTTGAATCCATGTCACCTTCAGTATAGTAAAAGGCAAGGCATTAGGGTGGTTTAAAGAAACCCAAGGTCCAGCCCTTTTCTGAGCTTTACACATAAAACTACCAAAGCAAAGCGTACTAAGTCATAAGAGTGGAAAATGTACTTTGGGAAAAGGCCAACTAGGGAAGAAAAGAGAGGACATTTACACTAGAGCCTTGATTGGGTAGTATGGAATGGGGAAGGGAGGCTTACAAATAATGCATGTGCTGCTGAAAATAGTATGAGCCAAAGGAGAAGGACAGGCACCGTGGGAATGGCCAGGCCAGAGCATCGGTTAAAAGTATCAGGAGCCATGCCAGGGGCAGTGGCTCACACCTGTAATCCTAGCACTTTGGGAGGCCAAGGTGGGCAGATCATGAGGTCAGAAGATTGAGACCATCCTGGCTAACATGGTGAAACCCCATCTCTACTAAGAATACAAAAATTAGCTGGACATGGTAGTCCCAGCTACTTGGGAGGCTGAGGCAGAAGAATCGCTTGAACCCAGGAAGCAGAGGTTGCAGTGAGCCAAGATTGCGCCACTGCACTCCAGCCTGGCGACAGAGCAAGACTCTGACAAAGTATCAGGAACCAGACTAGATGGTGAGTAGCATTTGGAACTATATTTGTAATACAGCTTAGGTATCCTTGTCTAATCTAAAAGTAGATGCTATGGTTAAAAGGGATGGATCCCACAGTGCCAAGACTTGGCCCTTGGAATCTTAAAAGACCATCCAGTCCAATCGTTTTTCCAAGTTATTTAATAGTGAAAGCCTTCAGTATATTTTGACTGAATGAAGAACCCACCCACTGAGCTTTCTTGTCATTCCCATCCCCACCTCAACAACAATAAATAAGTATTTGAAAAACTGATCCAATCCTAATTTTACAGGTTAAATTTAGGCCCAGTGTGGTTAAATTATTTGCGAAAAGACACATAGCAAGTTAGAAGCAATTTTGAAACTAGAGATTCCTAAATCCAGGTCACTGGTTAGAAGTAGTTTCAGGTACTATTAAAAAGGTAAAGTAGAATAGGTTGCAGAACTACAGATTAAAGTTAGAGTTTAAGACCTAATTAGGAAACACTACTTTATGATCAATGAGAATGATACACAATCTTATTTCTGAGAAGTCAAAGCTGAGTCGTTAACAAATCAGTCGTCTGCTACATTGTTTTGACAAGATCTGAGCAAATAGCAGGATATGGAAGGTAGGCTGCCAATAAACAAAGCCTCAGAGATGGGACGGACACAGGAACAATCACAGAGCAGCAACTGAATTCTCTTTTCCAAGTTGTCCGCTTTTAGAGTTAAGAATCCAAAGAAGTTAAAGAGTCAGGCATAATTGGGAGGGAAAGTGTGTAAGAAAGCCACGTATTGGGTGTGTGTGATTTAACCAAGGACAAACCACAATTCTCCAAGACCACTGCAACTGAAAGGTTACAGAACAAAAGAAACTAAACTCCTAACTCCAGAGGATTCAGAACAGATCTTACCATCACCTCAGCCAGAGAAGCCTACACAGCACACAGGAGCCTGAAATTAGGATCACTTGTTAGGAAAGGGACCCAGGGACAAGTCACCAATCACGTTAACTGTTTCCCACACGGCATGAATAAGTGTGTGTTTAACACAAAATGTGTATAGAGACAAAATCTGTGGGAGCCCCACTGTTTGTGAGAAGAAAGAATATCTGGCTTCTCTCTCTGAGCTCCAGGAATTTCCAAAACAAAAAACTGCACACCACAACAGCCCTCCCACCAATAAAAGCCAAGTCAATAAATCACTAATTGCCAAATGGCATACAGCAAATTGCCTACTAGGATCAAAGTAGGAGGAAAATAATGGTAAAAGGATTGTAACTATGCCAAGAGCATTCACCAATACTCTACTTAAAAATTCTGGGATGAAATGGCAATATGACTATTTCACAGGCGGCAAAACAGGCTCAGGGAAACAGAACTTGCCCAAGGTCTCAATACCACTAACTAATAAAGACAGGATTCAATGCCAGGCCTCTTTTCCCCATTTATAGTTCTCACCCAAAGAAAACCTAGAATGCTAGTGCTGGTCTAGACAAAGATGGCAAGTGGCAGACGACACCTCAAAAAGCCTATTAGCAAAGTACTAC